ACCTATAAAAATTCTTATTTATAATCAAATGTCAACTAAATTTTGAAGGATGCACGAGTACTCGTAAATATGTGAATACCAAAATAAATGGCGAAATCGTAAATACATGACACTGTTTTCACATGTGATATGAAACCATTAAAATAGCATATATCATGTTATTACTAATTAGTGTGCATTCGTAAAAATAACATAATATTTTTAAAAATATATGTGAAATTCGATAATATTTCTATTTAAAAAAAAACACGCAACAACCAGTTTATTTACTTTGGTGCATATAATATTCTAAAATAATCAGATAAAAGATGTATCCTACCTCCTATCGGCGTTTGTATGTGTGCAGATTCCTCGGTCATGAGACATTGGATTGCTCAAAGGTTCGAAGTTCAAACCATGTCGGTGTGTATTTCCATCTTATAATTTTATACACAGAAGATAATAAGTCGCATGTGACAACTTGTATCGAATAAAATCTTTATTTTTCTTATATCATACCCACACAAAAAAGGTAAATCTTCTGCAATTTTTCTAATTGAAATAAGTATTTGATCGTAAAATTGACCTGCCGGTGGCTCTACATCTGCTCTTTCACCTAAATCAACCATTATCCTCATGTTCTATCCTACTTATCAAAATATGACTTTTATTCTTTGATTTGTTCAGCTTCAATCTTTTTTCCACAGCAATAAAGAAAAATTTAAGACCCGTTTTCTATTTTGGTTAGTTTTTCTAATTTTTACAGTTTCTAATGTCGACATAATATTAGCCTGATATAAGATAGGATATTCTACTGATAATTTAACGTTATATACATCCATGCTTGGATTCATCATTCATGATTGTTATACTTTGCATATGGCTAAAAGTTCATGTGTACATTCCAAAGTAAAATTGGATATGACACCAGACACGATTATCACGTTGTTTAGATCCATGCATAAAACCAAAACGTGTATATGTTTGTTCACACAAAGAAAACTCTGATAATTTACAAGTTGGCAAAGACCTATTACCAGATACATTAATTGGGAATAAGTTGGAAAAATCATTATCATAAATCGCAGTCGCAAAAAAATAAAAATCACTTACATTTTTATATAAGTAGATTTATCGGTAGTTTACAAAGCTTCTTGTTTTTTAAGAGATTTAGAATTTTGTTTTCAGTTAATCAAGAAAATGGGAAATAGCTAAACAGCACATGTGATCCAAAAAATTGACGATCCGTGAAGTTTTGTTTGTCACGGTCCGCTAACACACAGCTTCAAGCTCGAATACCGTGCACACTAACTTATCCACGTTTATTCTTACCCTTGTACCCAAACATCTCTGTTTCCACGCTAAAAACTCTGATCCTCTGCATTCAGGCGTACGGTTACAGACACCGTCAAATCCGCCACGTCAGATATAAGGAGCCACCGACGTATTACCGCGTTCCATGTGGGACCCACGTTTCCCCCTTTTATCTATTTTTTTATTTCTCCCCAAAAAAGGACGCAAATTCTATTTTATTTATTTTGTTTCAGTTTTGTTATTTATATGGTGATTCCGCTGATCCAATAAATTCCATTCAGACAACGCAAAAATTAATAATTATCTTAAAAAAATAATAATAATAATTATCTTGCAATCTTGAAATAATAACCGATCAGTGTACACACACGTATATATATTATATATATACATGCATTTGTCAAAATACGTACACACTACGATGACATAGGATACAGTACGGTAGCTGATTGAATATGTAACTAATAAACTTCTGATTTTCTGGCTAATTAAGAAACCTACTTTAATGTTTAATCGCATTTTCTACCTCGGAGTGACTATTAATTACATCTAGCAGCACTGTAATTGTGTGTGGGGTTTATATTATGCGTGTGAATAATAAACCATGCACCAGTCTAGTTTTAATTTGAATTAGCAAATAAATAGTTTTGCACTTAATCTTTCATCATATAGTATGATTTCTTATCATTTTATTGTATACTATGCATAATAAAATAATTCATTTCTTTGATCTAACATCTCGTTTTACTCAGAAACTGATCATAGTATTTTTCATTTTTAAAAAATGTAAAATGTATTGTCTTATCGATTTTTTGTTTTGTTATCAGAATCATACGTTTTCCCAAACAGAACACTGAAGGTGTACCTGGTGTCTGTTTGTAAATTGGAATTTTCCTGAGCAACTTGATCCACTTTTCTTCATTCTTCCAATAAAATTCGTATAAGTTTACGTGACAGTAATTATATTCGTAATATTCGTACGTTGGTTTACGTGATAGTTGTCCAAATCATCCGTAGTATCTTTCTCTACGACGAGTACAAACATATACAAAAGTTGCAAACGTATCACCACCCTCTTGGCCTCTTTCACTTTATTTACGTACATGCAGATTTATTCAATCCACTAAATTCATAATATGCATTAGGGGTGGGCAAAATATCCGTTATATCCGCTTCGAACTGATATTTGCTTCGATTCGATTCGAAAAATCCGGATATCCATAAAATTTCGGAGCAAAGCAAATAACAAAATGTAGTATCCGTACAAAACGGAACAAATAACAAATATGTTTTTAGACAACGTCGGATATCCGATCCAATCCGTATCTTTATAAATTTATTATATATTAGTATATTTTATCATGTATATATCAATTATATTATAAATTTTTATTAATATACTCTCGATTTTCTTTCTAAATTTTCAATTGTTTATAAATTATTTAGATTATATAAAATAAATGACTAAATAACCATTCATAAAAAATAAATAATATCTTTAAACTTAAAATATATTAATAAATCATAATTTATTTGATATTAGTTAATAAATATTAATAAAGGTTTTTAGTAAAGTTTAATATTTAAAGTTTCAAATAGTTAATATTATTTTTAAATATAAAATATTATTTTTTCTCATCTTAATTTTATAGGTTTAATTTTTATAGCTTTTTTATAAAATAAAATGTTTTATTTTAATTGTTTTCACTTAACAGTGTAGATAAAAAAATATTTTTTATAATAAAAGTTGATGTACTTTCTTTTTTGTGTATATTAAACAGATCAAACTAAATATTCATAAATATCTATAAATATCCGTAAATATCCGCAAATACTTATAAAATTTTTGAATATCCAAAAATCCGGATATCCATATATTTCTGGAGCAAATCAAATCATTAAATTAAATATCTGTTAAAAACGGAGCAAATAATAAATACTTAAAAATTTCCGGATATCCGATTTGCGCCCACCCCTAATATGCATGAGCCGTGAAACAACTCACTCGTCATCAATGGAATATTAGAAAATCTAAAATGAAAATGTATAATACGGATTTATTTTTCAATATCAAATAAAAAGTAGAAATATATTTTGAGTGGATTAAATAAAAAACTTCAGGAACTTTGCCTTGTATTACCCCAATTTTAACCTTATCGTGGTTGGCGTGTCCAAGTGGGCAACTGGTCTCCTACTAATGCGTTTGATAATAAATGATCGTGATTTTTTAACATCTCTTTTTTTTTTCCTCAAACATTTAATTTTCGGATAAGAAACCATGTATAAGTTGAAAAATAAAATCAAAAATAAAAAATAAAAAAAAATATATATATATATAAAAATCATATTGTTTCTACTAGGAGTAATGATGTTTACATAAATGTAATTGACGCTTAAAACAAATTATATACATCTAACGTAAAACGAAATCATTAACAACCGACAAAATAACCTTTAGAAAATCTTGAGTGAGACCTAACACAAAGTAAGTAGTAATTTTCTACCGGTTTATATATAGCGACATTCCATATTAATTATTAAGCATCTTCCAGTTTTTATTTTGTCAACTACTAAGCTATCTTCTAATTTTTCAGTCGAAATCACTGAAATTTTAATTGAAGAAGAAGAGTCAATAAATATGTTTTGTTTTTATGCACCGCCATAAGTTTTTCATGGGAAGAGAGAGAGAGAAAAAGGTCAACAATTAAATTAAATTAAAAACAAAAACACAGCGTGAGTTTTAAAATTACATTATAAGCAAATTAGACATCTACCCATGGGAAGCTTCTCTTCGTTTCCCTTAAATACGGTGAGAACTAACAAAAAAATAAAATAAAAATACAGAGAGAGAGAAGATTTTTCATTATTTATTCAACGTGAGAGTAGAGAGATTCGACTAATTTTTTTTTTTTTTCCTCTTTCTCTAATTGTTTCTCTTGTTTATAATAAAAATGGTAATCGAGCCTGCCAACAGAAGTGTTTCTTAATAGTGATAAATTCTTTTTTTTTTTCGTTTTTAATTATTCAGTTCTCACGAGCTTTGTCGAGATTGGATCCATACAAAAATTACACGACGCTGCTGCATCACTCTCCCCCACTGTCCGAGTTTCAAATTCGTAGATAGAGAGAAGGAGAGAGAAAGAGAGCTCGAAGAAGAAGACTGAAGAACAATCTTATTAAGATTTTCGTGATTCCAGCTAAATTTTGTGTCTTTGAGGGAAGAACTCCAGATTTAATCGTTTGTAAATACAGTGCGTATCTTCTGCTCCAAGAACGCTACTGCAAAGGGATTATCAAAGAAAGTGCGTCTTTTTCTTCACTCTTTTACTCCTTCTTCTCGGATTCACCTTCTCGCTTTGTTTCACTTTCTTGATTTGATTCGATTGGGTCTTTCTCTCCCCCTCCGTGATTTCTGGATTAATTTTGTCAAAACTTTTCTGGGTTGTGCTTCGATTTCGATTTCCACAAGACAACTTTACTGATCTTTATCTAAATCAAAATCGAAGTTACTGGAGATTTATCTCTGCTCTGCAATTGTGGATCTGCCGATGTAAATTGGAAGTTTTTAATCTTTACTTAATCTTGGATAATATTTATACTCAGCTCAATCATTTTCACCTGAAAGCTTAAATTTTTATTCTCTTTTGAGCTTCTAATATTCAAATTGGGTTTTACAGGGGATCTTAAAAGATTTCAGCAAGAAAAAAATGTCAATGCCACTGCATCGTGGCATCTCCGGTGTACGAGTTTCCGACAGCAGTGACGACTTGAGAGACTCGCAAATGAAGGACAAAACAGAGAAGGAAGATTTGGTCCGAGGCCGGTCCACGGATAACAACAACAGCAACAGCAACACTCACTTAACCTTGAGGTTTCCTTTTAGTTTCCTCTTCAGCAGCAACCAAGCTTCTTCGAAACACGGCGAAAACGCTTTCCTCGCAGATCCTTACACCGCGAGGAGCAGACACAGACTGGTGCTGATGTTTCTCAAGTTCAGTTTGGTTTTCATCGTGGTGGCTGCTCTCGCTGGATCTCTCTGGTGGACGGTTTCCATATCGACCTCGTCGAGAGGTCATGTATATCACAACTATAGGAGATTACAGGAGCAGCTTGTTTCAGACTTGTTGGATATTGGGGAGATTTCTATTGGTCCTAGTAGGTGGAAAGAGTTGGAGTATTGTACTGTAGAATCCGAGACTTACGTTCCTTGCTTTAATGTTTCCGAGAATCTCGCGCTGGGATACTCCAATGGTGATGAGAACGATCGGTTTTGTGGGCCTGGGTCGAAGCAGGACTGTTTGGTGTTACCACCGGTTAAGTATCGGGTTCCTCTTAGGTGGCCTACTGGTAAAGATGTCATCTGGTATCATAACGTCAAGATTAACGCTCAAGAAGTGTTGTCCTCTGGTAGTTTAACCAAAAGGTGATGACTTGTTTTTGCTTCTTCTTCTTCTTGATAAAGTTGACTGAATCCATTGCTAAGCTTTGCTTTTTGTGTTTGTGTGTGTTCCAGGATGATGATGATGGATGACGATCAGATATCTTTCCGTTCTGCATCTATGTTTGATGGTGTTGAAGACTATTCCCATCAGATCGCTCAAATGATTGGGATCAAGAATGATAACTTCATAGAAGCTGGTGTAAGTCTCACACACACACACACACACACACTCAAAGTAGTTCAATCTTTATCTCTCTCTCTCTCTCTCAGCTCAGCTTCTTATATTGAGATTACCCTCTTGATTTGTTGTTTCAGGTGAGAACAGTCTTGGATATTGGATGTGGTTATGGTAGCTTTGGAGCACATCTACTCTCCAAACAGATATTAACCATGTGCATAGCAAACTACGAAGCATCAGGCAGCCAAGTTCAGCTAACACTTGAGAGGGGTCTACCTGCAATGATTGGTTCTTTCATGTCAAAGCAGTTGCCGTATCCTTCTCTCTCCTTTGATATGTTGCATTGCTCAAGCTGTGGCATCGACTGGGACCAGAAAGGTAAACGATTTGATAGACTCCCTAGAACGATTGTTCTCAATTTCCTTTAGCCGAGGAAGGACCTAGAACCATAATGTAATTTAAATTCCGCTGTGCAGACGGGCTTCTCCTTGTAGAAGTGGACAGGGTTCTGAAGCCTGGAGGTTACTTTGTGTGGACATCTCCGCTCACAAACGCTCGTAACAAGGAGGATCTTAAAAGATGGAACTTTGTTCATGATTTTGCTGAAAGCATCTGTTGGAAACTTTTATCTCAGCAGGACAAGACAGTTGTCTGGAAAAAGACAATCAACACTAAATGTTACAGTTCCCGGTCAGTTTACACACACAGCTATTGTAGTCCAGAATCTTCATATGAATTACGTACAGTATTTGGTCTTCTTACATGGGTGCTTAAATGTTGAATAACAGAAGTCCTGGGGTGGGGCCTTCAGTGTGTAGCAAAGGGCACGACGTAGAGTCTCCTTATTACAGGCCGCTTGAGATGTGTATTGGTGGAACTCGTAGCCGGAGGTGGATTCCCATTGAAGCCAGGAAAAGATGGCCTAGCCGGTCTAACATGAACAAGACTGAACTTTCACTATATCGTTAGTCTCCTTAGTTACACATTGTTTCTGAATCCATCTGCAGTTTTTGTGTTTTCGCATTTTTTTGATTCTTTGGTTGATTGGTTCAGGTATTCACCCGGATGAGCTTGGAGAAGACGCTGAGAACTGGAAACTAACAGTAAGAGAATACTGGTCTCTCTTGTCTCCTCTGATATTCTCTGATCATCCCAAGAGACCCGGCGATGAAGATCCGTCGCCGCCTTATAACATGCTCAGAAACGTTTTGGACATGAATGCTCAGTTCGGCGGTCTCAATTCCGCGTTGCTGCAAGCAAGGAAATCGGTCTGGGTCATGAATGTCGTCCCTACCGCTGGACCTAACCACCTCCCGATGATCCTCGACCGTGGCTTTGTCGGAGTTTTGCACGACTGGTGAGTCAAACAAGAAAAGTCTATTGGATTCTCGTTTTCTATATATAAGTTTCTCTCATCTCAACTTATTACTGTTCTTCAGGTGTGAAGCCTTCCCGACATACCCGAGAACATATGACCTGGTGCACGCAGACAATCTTTTGACGCTTCAGACAAGTCAGCGCCGAGGCACATGCTCGCTCCTGGTTATACTCACTGAGATTGACCGATTGCTTCGCCCAGAGGTACAAACATTGAAAGTAGAATGTCACTATTGCTCTTTAGCTTCTGAGCTTTTTGGTAGCTGTATAATAAGAAAACATTGGTGGTGCAGGGATGGGTGATAATCCGGGACACGGCGCAGCTGGTGGAAGCGGCTAGAGCTTTGACGACGCAGTTGAAGTGGGAGGCTCGAGTCATTGAGGTTGAAAGCAGCAGTGAACAGAGACTTCTCATCTGCCAAAAACCTTTCTCCAAGCGACTATCAATCTGAACAAGAAGGAAGAAAGAATCTATATAGACACAGGTTTTCTCCACTTTATATTTGTTTATTTTTGTTCCAAGTCTCACAGTTTGGAATCAATGATCAAACTGTGTTGATGATACGGGGAAGAAGAAAGAAAGGAGAAAGAAGATGAAATATATATATCCCGCCGGGGACGTAAGACCGCCGGTGAAATTTCTTTATCTGGTTTTCATGAGTTCCCATTTTACAGAATCTAGATTTATTTTTTACCTGGACGTTACTATTTTTAATACCTTTTTTTTCTTCTATTATATACAGTGAAAAAGAATATGATCCACATTTGTGAAGATGTTTATGAAATAATATGTTACACTGTACAATTTCATTTTCAATATTGGTACCAAGAACATTCTTTTCTCACAATCAGAAATTAGAACCATTTGTTGTCGAAAATAAATAAATTAGAACCACTCTTTCTGAAAAATTGAGTTGAACCGAATCTAATATTATTTGGTTGATATTCGGTTAACATGTTTCACGCGCTCTCCTCTCTCTTCACCTTCAGTGTGATGGTATCTCTGCAATCGAAGTTTTTCTGAGCTGATGTTGGCTTCTGCCTTTGGATCCACGTCCCTTTCCTTTCTGCTTATCATCTCCATTGTGGCTTCGGTGGTTAAAGCTGGAGGAGGCTGATAGTGATCTCACAGCTCTCTTGGTGGCTGTTCTTTTGCGCCTGTGGTGCAGAGAGTCTCCTCCACCAAACGCAGCTTTCGCGACGCTGTCTTTGAGCACTTCCCTCGCTCGCTGCGGCTTGATGAGCTGCTTGTTAAGGTAAACCAGCTTAGGGAGAAGGCTCGAGACCGTCTTGCGCAGCTGGTCCTCACCGACGTTGCTCTGTATCGGGTTCCCAAGAATGTTCAGAGCGACGAGAGAGTTGTAGTTTGCAACTAGCTGGCCTATTGCCTTGGTGGTGGCGATCTTGTTGAAGCTAAGATCGAGAACGATGAGTTTCAGTAATCTGTGTAAGCCTTCTACGTTGCTGATCTTGTTCCCAGCTAGGTATAGTTCTTTGATCAGTGTACAGTTTGATAAACCTGATCAATATAGCTTCGGGTTAAGACAGGAAAGTAAACAAAGCATTGTGTGTGTTTCTTGCTTAATGATGGAAAAAACTTTACCTTGTCCGATGCGAGAAATACGGTTGTAACTGAGGTCGAGCACTCGTAGGCGTGTCAAATCTCTTAGTCCTTCGATAACACTGATCTTGTTCTTGGACAGGTTTAACGCGTGGAGGCCCTTTGGAAGCGATGCAGGAGTGATTTGAACTGCAAATAACAGAACATTGTCTATAAAAGCACACCACACACTCTTGTATTAAACATGTTGAGATATTAATACAGGAGCGTACCTAAGAAGTTGTTTGATAGATCAATCGACTTGAGGCTGGTGAAATGGGAGATGCTCGGTACAGCGTTCAAGCCTATGCTCGAGATGTGAGCCACGCTAGAGGATTTGCTCAGCGATTGGATAAGGCTGTTTGCGTGAAGTATCGCCTCCGAGACATTTCCCGAAGGTGATCTCACGGTCGTAGGAGAGGCTATGAAGCTGTGCTTATCCTCATCATCGTTCAACGGAACCACGGTCTCGACGTCGAGTCCTCTTACCCACTCATCCACTCGTTTCATCGAAGATGATCCCGCAGAGAACGCTACCCACTGGTTATGACGAGGCCACAAGCTCGATGATTGGTTGTTCGCAGAGTCTTCATGGCTAGATTGGTCGTGGTCTGCAAAGTCGGAGGTGTAACCAGACTGGTGGTTCTTGGCTGAAACAACGCCTAAAGGCTGCGACTTTAGCGAGACGAGGTGTTTGTGAAGGTTCCTATGGCTCCAGAGGAACAGTTTCCACCAGAGCCTGCGGCTACCGGAAGGAAGTATCTGCATCGACGAATGTTTCTTAAGCATTACTCTATCTGCACTTCTGTGAGACCTCACCGATTGGTTACTAGCTGGAACGGTCTCTCTCAGGTCATGGAGAGCCCGAGGATCAGAACCGTTGAACTTGCTGAGAGTGGAGCAGGATCGTTTGAGCTTAGGAGATGTCACCCAAGCCGTGGCTCTGCCTAACCCCGGATCGCTGACGTGGCCACCTTCTTCGTCGTCATCATCACCATCTCCGTTTTCGGAGCAATCTGTCACCTCTTTACCTAACTCCTTCCTTGTCAGAGGTGCAACGGCTCGTTCTTGAACTTGGGATTTGGGAGACTCGCATTTCGTTGAATCTTTGTCATCATCGTGTTCATCTTCACCATCGCATGACTCTTGCTCGAAAGGACTGTCCTTGTGACCGATGGACTTGTTGTCGTGGCTTGGCTCGTCATTCTCCAGAGGCTTCACTGGCTCTTCAAGTCTGATCTGAAGGATTCTCTGCGTTCTCGGAGGCAGAGAAGGTTTTGGAATCCGCTGTGTTTCAGTCAACAGAACGGAAAAAAAATCTCAAACATAAGATAATTCCCAGGAAAATTCACAGACAAAACAAAAAGTAGTCACAATCATTTCCCGGAGACACTAAATCCGATTCGAGCCAGAGAATGAAATATTTTACCTTATGGTTTTTGTTTCTACTGATCAATCCAGCGAAGCAGCTGAACATGTTCATGATTTGATGACAGATCCGTAAGCTAAAAAATCTCTCTCGGAAAAATTAAAAAAATTAGCCGTAATCTACCGGAAGTCGGGAAAGCAGCAAAACGGTGAGTATGGAAGGAGAAATGACGCCGGAAAACAAGGAGGCAGTTCTTGAGCCGACCACCGGCGATTCCGCTGATGTGTCGGCCAGAGTTTCAGAAATCCCGCCGTACTTGTTTTTCAAGATTTTTCTATCACCAATACGAACGATGAGAGCCACTAAAGGAAAATAAAAACAGAGTAAGGGAAGAAGAGAGAAGAAGGGAAATTATGAAATGGACGGGTTTTACAAAGCATGCAGGAGAGCCACATGTAAACTAAAAATCTATGGTTTAACTCTTAAAGACAGACAGAGAACACTTGTGTGTACGTATTTAGTATTTTCTCTTTACTACCAACTAAATAGATAAGCTCGTTCCTTATTACCAAAAAGAAACGATAAGCTCATTCCTTACATTCTAAATTGTACAAATGATAAATTCTTTTTTTTTTTTTGTTGTCAACAAATGTAATTCATTATGCATATAAAGATTAGATGAATATATAAATATTGGATGACTACAAAAAAGAATGTAAGGAATCCGCGGCTAAAACACGGAGTCCATGATTATGGAGTATTATTTTCCACAAAAATTGATAGAATAATAATCACATCTCATTCACGAAACACCATTAGTAGTATAGTTGGTGACTAGAATACTAATACAAAACAAAATATATGAAGTTTTTATATTTTTTTAAAAAAATCTAAAATAAATGCTAATAGATTTTACTTAAATAATTTTAGTGTACATGTTTAGGTACCAAAATCCAAAACAATTCAAAAATGATAAATGCCACTCAAAAAACAATCATATACATTAGATTTGTAGAAATCTCTATACTCTTTACTCTCATAAATTAAAAGTTAAACAACAAGCAAGTATAGATTTGAGCATTGACTTTTTTTAGAAAAGACAAATGGCACTGAACCAAAACTTCTTTTATAGAATAAAAAGACAAAACAATCGAAAGATAGTGTAAGAGAAGAGAAGAGAGCTAAAAGAACGTAAGCATCAGGTCCGGTGGTTGCGTCGAGTAGCCGCAAGTAATGGAGTCCATCGAACTCCTCTGCTCTGTAGTCCACCCAATCTCCGGTGGATTTCACTGTTTCGACTAAATAATATCCGTCGATGTCAGTTATTTATGGATCCCACCATCATAGGCGCAGCTGTGTGTTGGCCCCAGTGAGTGACGTGGTTACATATCATTGGATAGAAGACTATGTATCCAATTGATGGTCCTTGGCTTTAAATCATTCAGAGAGAACAAAAAAAACACTCTCATGCAAATGAGTGATATGACAATTGATTATATTATCCCACAAGGCCACAACGTTATTTCTTCAAGAACTTTAAAAAATTATATTTTATCCAAAAGAAGTGAATACCAAACAATACAACCATACTGACGCTATTATTGATTGCATGTTTCCGATTAGCTTTTCATTAATTTATTTTGGAAATTAATAATGAAAATCAGATTCCAAATAATATACATTGTTGTACGAGGACAAAAGAATCAGATATACTTATATTTAATTTTTAATTAAAAGTTCCTTTTCCTGGCGGGAAATAACATTTTTGTTTTTGTTTTACTAATTTTCCTTTCACTTTCTTTTGAAAAAACAGTGAAACTTGGCACACATTATGGATCACACAATCTCCACAAACTTATTAATTCAAAAGAAATCCAGACGGTTATATAAGAAAATACACAAAAATGGACCTAAGCGACAGGAAGTTAAAAAAATATGTTGCCCTTGTTTTCAATATACGTGTCGTGTAAAGTTACGTAAAACATACTAAAGAAAATATCTAATAAGTTTTTGTTATGTTTCTGTCGACAGGCATACCAATCAGAGATTGGATAAAATAGCGCAATATATTAAACAAAATTTATAAGAACGGGTCCAACCGAAAGATACTTGCTATGAGAGTTTATTGATACCTAGTTATTGGGTCGTATGTTTGGGCTTTACGAAGGTCCATCTTATCATGCAAGCCTATATAGACTTCTTTAATCTGTACTCTTCTGTTTGGAGAGGCATGATAATACAAAATGTTCATCTAGTGTGACATATCCAACGTACTGTATATACTGAAACATTCAGTTTTTTATATTTGAATAGATATGGTTTACTTCTAAATACATCCTTTCTATTCATATCTTCTTATTCTCCTTCTACACGTTTCCTTTTTAAATTGTTTCTTTTACAGAAGAACACCCTTCCATATTTCTTAGTTTTACAAACTTAGTAATATCTTATCTATTTTTGCTTAGTGATTGTTTATAATCTCGTAAACTAGATCTGCGTATTGTTCTATATGTTTTCATGTGGTCGATCGTCCGTTCAATGGTTGTAGAGTTTGTGTTATAGAAACAATAATTATTGTTATGTAGCAGTTAGCAGATATCATAAGATTGATGAGGAAAGGTAGGTGAGCCGTGAGCAAAGGTAAATGAAGAGGAGAGAGAACTACTAGTACTAGCAACAAGGTACAAGAATGTGATGTGGACTAAGAGAGGTTCATTTCGAATAATATCTTCCAAGGAAAAGCTCCAAAGGAAACAAACAAATTTACGTGAAATTTGGTAAAAGAAAAACTTGAGATCGTTGAAATGTGGAATTTATCGAACATATTTATTCTGTTTAAATAAGAGATATATTTCACTTTTCAGATGTAAATTACATCTCTAACAAGCCCGGCATAAGACATCTTCGATGAAGCCACGCCATTAATTACTTGACACATGCAATTTACATCGAAATAATAAGCTAGTTATCAACATATTTTCGTACTTCGTTATTAGAATCGATAGATCCTGAATTTAGTACCCAAAATTGATTTAATATATAAATGTTAATTGACAAAAAAAAAATGGCTTTCATCGCTACGTGTTACACACTCTAATTAAATTTAGATTACTCGTTGACATGCATATAACCATTTTGTTTGCATTTCTCAACTTTTGAGGACAGGAGCATTTTTTTTGTCAAGTTTTTTTTTTTTCCAAATTAAGAACGATTATATAGCGAGAAAGATATTTTATTTTCTAGAATAATTGACAGATATTAAGACTTCAAAATTTGACAAAGAAATGACTCTTACACCAAAATTGACGAAGGTTTTTTTTTCTTTTTTTGGTATCTCTGTCTATATCGTAGCTAGCTCGTAAATTTATTGAGTCTTCAATTTTTGGTCGCAGTCTTCTAATACCTTTCGTATTTTATAGTATTAAAATTAAGTTACATACTCGAATTTAATTCCCAACCACTGTCACAACAACATTGTGTTCCCATTAAAGATTTAACCATGTGCCTCTCAATATGGATACAAAGATTTTTTTTACTTTGCTATTTACTGTTTTATTTTTACCAAAACTTGATTCATAGAACAAAGTAAAGCCTACATTTTTTACTGAATACACAAAATTCGACAAAATAAAATAGAACATTGTCTTGTAACTTTTTTTCTTACTAATAATAATCTTTAAAACAAATAAGTACACAGTACACTTGCAAATTGCAAAACAAAAAGTGTTTGGTTTTTTGTTTGTTCACCTTGACACAAGTAAAAAAGTTGGTATTCATGTGATGTGACGGTACTGTTACCTCTATATATATTCCAATTAAAGTACCATCAAATATATTAGTAATAAAATTCTGCAGGTTCGTAATAAATCCCCCAACCAATACCAGAGAACCAGACACAAACACCACAACATATTCAACGCGAATCATTTCTTTTTCTAGAAACTTCAACTTTTTAGTTTTGTTTTGTAATGACAGGTTGCTTCAGCTTCTGTGACGCAATAGAACGGGCTTTCAAATACGGTTTCAAAAGATCCGGATTACAACCCGTAACCATCGATTTGAAAGACGGAACCGTAGTCCACTTTTGGGTATCCAAGACCCGACCCGAAACAAAACCCAACCTCCTCCTCATCCACGGCCTTGGAGCTAGTGCCATCTGGCAATGGTACGACGTCGCTCGACGTCTCTCTCCTCACTTCAACCTCTTCATCCCCGACCTCGTTTTCTTCGGCCAATCCTCCTCGACCAGACCCGAAAGATCCGACGTTTTCCAGGCCCAGACGCTCATGCGGGCCTTAGAGGCCCAATCAGTGAAACGATTCAGCCTCGTCGGTCTCAGCTACGGCGGGTTCGTGGGTTACCGAATGGCGTCGATGTACGGAGACGCCGTTGAGCGGGTGGTCATTTGTTGCGCCGCCGTGTGCGTGGAGGAGAAGGATATGAGAGACGGCGTTTTCACGGTGTCGGATCTTGATGAAGCTTCGAAGATTCTGGTACCGGAATCTGTGAAGAGGCTCCGGGAACTTATGGGTTACATCTTCTACAAGCCGGCGCTGCCGAGAATGGTTCCTCCTTGTCTGCTCCGTGATTTCATCGACCATGTGAGAACCTTTCTTCTTTTAGCTTCTTCATCCAATCATATTGCGACAGGTGTCTCAATGTCTTGGCGCATTTCGGCTTCATATAGTAGGAAATATGTTTTTATTTTCGAAATAATATGAGAATAAAATTATGAAAATCTAGCAAGTGCGAAATATAGTCTAAAAAACATGGGAAAAAGATTTGAAAGATTCTAACTGTTCGAAGATAATATTTTAAATTGTCCACTTGGAGTTTTTAAAACACACATTTTTCTGGCTGGGAATATAATGCCCATTTTTAGATCATTTAAAAAAAAAAAAAGAGAATTAAGATTTGTCTGCTACGTCATTGTGTGCCTGCTCTTTTTGTTTATTTATTTTTTACATAAAATTTACTAATTGGTAAAAAACTGTAAAAAAAAAACAGGCTTTGACGAGAGATAATATGAAAGAAAAGAGGGAAATGATCATAGACATACCAAAAGGCAGAATAATCTCAGAGATACCGAAGCTCAAACAGGTCCTCTCTTCTCTTTCATCTTATTTTGTGACTAAGTACTTTTTCAAATATAACTGATATAAACTTAAATTCAAATTAACGAATGCAGCCAACATTGATAATCTGGGGAGAGCATGATCAAGTGTTCCCGTTGGAGATGGGGAAGAGGCTTGAGAAGCATTTAGGGGATAATGCGAAACTTGTTGTGGTCAAAAGAACTGGTCATATCTTCAATTTCGAGAAACCTAAAACTTATTACAAACTTCTCAAATCTTTTCTTCTGCACACAAAACAACAGGTTCCTGTCACTAATGGAACTGTTTGATTTGTTGATACTCTGTTTTTTTATTCACTTATCATGTATCCTTTAAGCTTTATTAACGTATAAATGTTCTATCAATTCAGCTTCCCACTTCGTTAACTACAAGTCTGATTAAATTCGGAATATATTTATTTATGTTCAAAATTTTCATATTTAATATCGATTCAGCAAAACTATGCAATCTTTTCAAGATTTATTTTCGATGAATATCAATCAAATTCAAGTGGGATTATTATCGATGAAGAAAGAAGAAGATAGATTGTACCAAAGAGAGGGAAAAACAGCAGAGAGGGGAGAAACAACTCTGCAAATTATAAAATCCCTCTCATGAGGAAAATTAATATGTGCCTCCAGAACAAAGCTAACAAGAATGGATCTTGCTGCTGAAAGAAGAGGCATCTTTCTTCTATTCGAAAATCTAACCCACAAACAAACAAAACACACAAATACTCTGTTTTCTTAATCTATCATCAAACTACGTAACTCAACTCAAGAAATCATTTGAAACCATTAAGCAAGAACGAATTAGCTTAGAGAACCGTCGAGATTGGAGAAAAATCTTATATATGAAGAGGGAATAGCATTTGATATATATAGGGGTGGCGTCCAGCTTCTTGCTCCAAAAGCCCTAATTTACTTTAGGTTTAATCTTTTATGGGCTTTTCTAATAAAGCCCACTAATAATGATTGTGGGTTTCAGTAACATTGTCAAGAATAATGGCCCATCTTTATCCTTTACGGATCCCAAATACGTAATTCTGTCCAACTTTCTCAATCTCAGGGCACAATCACGAAGAAACCAATCCCGCTTCACTTGAATCTTCTTCCTCCGATTTCCAAGAAACCAATCACCCACCAGAAGAATCCATCATTTCTCAAATCTCTCTTTCGTCTTCTTCGATAGCTTCCCCGCCAGATTCGCTTTCCAATTGTAAGTTTTCTTTGGTGCCTCTTTTCAGTGTTTTTGTACATTCTCAAAGGGGCTGAGTCAATGTAACGAGATCGTAGCTAGTTTAATTGGAATATAATCGTGCAGTAGATCACTGTTAAGGAATCGGAACCTAGAGTTGATTTCAATTTTGACTATTTCTTTCTGATCAAATTAGGGTTTTTTTTTCTATTGCGCGAGGGTTTCTTTTGATTGTCGTAGTTCTTTGGGTTTTCTCAGGTTAACTCAAGCATGGCTTTAAGAGAAATCATGTCCGTACTTAAAAATCTTTCCTTGGAGCCAGAAGAGAAAATCAAAAGCGTGCAGAAGATCGAACATGAGATCAGAGAGTCATGCTCGTCGCTCGTTGCCGAAGTAGAATCCAAAAAGCCCCATAAATCCACTCAGAAGCCAAAAGGACGCAGCACGAGATCCTGTGGTCACTGGTACGTTCGTCACAGAGCCTGCGTCGTCTGCAAATCCAAGGTGGACAAACGTGAAGGCAGAGCATTCGATTATCTCGTCCAAGGTTTACAGTTAAGCCACGAAGCTGTGGCGTTGACCAAGCGCTTCACGACACGGTCCTCTTGTCTCAAAGAGAGGAAGCTCCACCTTGTCCTTGACTTGGACCACACGCTTCTCCACTGCACTCAAGTCTCGCGTCTCTCCAAAGCAGAGAAGTACCTACTCAGAGAATCAAGGGAGGATCTAAGGAAGATGGAAGTCGGAGAAGATTCCACCGAATACTTGACAAAGCTAAGGCCTTTTGTTCACGACTTCTTGATGGAAGCCAACGAGATGTTCACGATGTATGCTTACACGATGGGATCTCGCGATTACGCTAAAGCCCTTTTGGAGCTGATTGATCCGGAGGGAGACTACTTTGAGGACAGAGTGATAACAGCAGACGATAGTCCATTTGTGAAGACGCTTGATTTGGTTTTGGCTGAGGAGCGTGGTGTGGTGATTGTGGATGACACGCGAAGTGTTTGGACTCATCACAAGAGTAACCTTGTGGAGATTAGCAAGTACAACTATTTCAGAGACGATGGCCAACAGGATTCAAAGCCTTACTCAGAGGAGAAGATAGACGAGAGTGAAGACGACGGTGCATTGGCCAATGTTTTGAAATTACTCAAGGAACTTCACTCTGGATTCTTCAGAGTCAAGAAAGATCAGTTAGAGTCGCAGGACGTGAGGTTGCTGCTACAGAAAATTGACTCCAAGCTTCTCAAATAAGATCTGTTCTGTAGAATCTTCACGTCGTCTTTAAGAAATACAGAAAATCTGCAAAATATGTCTTTTTGACTCAATTACTTTCTGAATAGACGACAGATAACATTCTTTAAAAAAACGTACAGTACAATCAAATGTTCTCTCTTGAAGTATTGTATATAATAAATCATCTGATTTGTCAAACTAGTATATAGTCCTATAAAACGAATGTTGTAACTTGAGAATGCAGAAGTAACCAAGAGCTAGATCAAAAGGAATCAATATGAGTCCTGTGAAGCAAAGAAAGCTGAATCTTGGTTTATCATCTAAACCGGACAACAATGCAAGATATGTCATCTTTGCTGTTTCTTTTCAATGCTTCAGCAATTAGTTGTTTCGCCGCTTCTTTTGGATCTTTCAACTTCTTAGCTATGTCAACTGCTTCTTGGTTTGACATCACCTGTTCAACAACATTCTTTCATATTCAACAAAGCATCGTTTCTCCTCTGTCAAAACGATCTATAATCGAAAATGTTACCTTCGAAATACCGTCACTAGCGAGAATGAGAATATCTGTGTGACTATCAATTGAGACATCCTTAATCTCAGGCTCTGTATTCAAGTATCGTTTGAGGTTTTTATCACCAAAGACACGCGACACAGCTAACAAACCATTCACTCGAGCAACATCTCCTGTTCAATTCACAAACATCAGAATCATCATCCTCATATAATGCTCAAAATATACTAAAAAAACAAAAGCAAAGCTGTTCTTAACCTGGCCTGTTGGTTACAAATCCACCTTTACTCTCAATCATGTTCCTTTCAGTATCGTCATCAGGATCATGATCAACACTTATCTGTCTTGCTTTACCTCGACGAGACACAATTGCTCGCGAGTCGCCGACATTAGCTATCCACAGAATTTTCCCGTTGATCAAAATTGCAGTCACTGCAGTTGAACCGCCACTCCCTAACTCCGAACTATTACCAGATAGAATCGTTTGGTCTGTATTCTCATAAGCTTTCGCAATTGTTCTTCGAGGATCAACCAAAAACTCTCCCTATAGACATTAACACAATGTTTGTGTGTTTATCTACCACAAATAATCATAATACACACAAAAAAAGTAAACAACAATCTTTGTTACTTACATCATTTAGGATATTCGAGAAGAGATGTTTCTGCAAATACGCAGCTATTTCATCACCTTTATGACCATCAAAGATTGCAAATAGCCCTAGTTCATTGCCTTTGATGTTGATAAACTTAGCAACATGATAATCCTCCATTGAATGATTAGATTTCCCTTTTACTAAACTAAACCCATACTTGATTCCTCCTTCATTGTTTTTTCCTTTACCCGATTGAGATTTTTGTCCTACTACAACCTGAACATCAACAAGAAAAAAAACAGATTTAAAAAACACATCTCAAAACCTTCATAAACGAAGCAAAATATAAAATTTCTCCAAAACACTGTAAGTACCATTACGACTAAACTAAAAAAAGACAACTGACGAAAACAGAATTGTTTTGCATTTTTACTTGTGTGTCGGAGCGAGAGCAGCAGATCTTGGGCATTTGACTCGACGAAAATTCTTCGGTGGCTATGGATGAATAAGCAAATTGGTGAAATTTTCTAACCAAAAAGACAATCTGCGAAATTCACGACTGTGAACATGAGGATGCATCAAGACGAGACGCAGAGATTATAAGAGGACGAAGCGAAAATTGAAGAGGGACATGAGTGGAAGTAAACCTTTAGTTGCTTGAATCCGCAACTACGATTGATCAATTTCGCAAACTCCTGCTGTGCTTACGAAGCCTTCGCTCTCCTTCGTTAATGTCGTTTTCTTTCTGAAATTTTATATCCACTGAAAAAATAATTCTGGTATAGTAAGTTCCATGAATTAATTTTTTAATTATCATCGTCTTGAGGTTATTATTTTAAAGTCTTTTGCATGCCTTTATTTTGGAAAACTACATACACAAACGTCTACATTTCATTGGATAAAAATATGCATATATTAATAATATTTTATTTTAATATATCCAGGTCCATCTACATTTTAATTCTTTTGATTTTGTTTCCCTCTTATTAATATATTTGTCTATTAACTGTACAATCTAATCATTTATAATATAGTGCTGGACACCAAATTATGATTAAAAAACGCCCGTCTTGTATAATAAGATGATATCTTCATGAAACCTTCCAAAGTATTTTACCATTTGTATCATTTTTACCTCTCTTAAGCAAATTTATTTCTTCTTCTATCCTATGTGATTTGCTTTATTTTACTTTTCTCTTTTGGGAAAACTATATATGGCAACTTTCTGACTAATTTAATCTAGCCTGATTTGTGTTTCTGGTTTAAGCGACTGTGTACATTAACGACACGTATAGTGAACACATGGATCAGCTTATAGTCATTAAACCTTTCTAGCTATGGGCCTTAAATGGAGTAAGCCCATTTACAAAACTAAATCAGTTTTATAATAAGATCTAGCTAATACTACAGGGGTATTCTCGTCCTTTTCGTCAATCATCAGCCACCACGACGCTTTGTCTTCCACTTCCGCCGTCAGCCGCCACGACACTTCGTCTTCCTCGCGCGTCTCTTGCTCGTTGCATTGTGACTTTGTGAGAGAGAAAGAGATAAGAAGATGAGGTTGATAGTGCACAACATGCTGTCTTGCAACATCAAGGGAGTGGTTAACAAGTTTCCTCTGCGGATCGAAGCCGAGAAGGTGATTGAGAAGGAAGTCGATTTCAACCCAGATTTTCTCAGGCACATGCTCGCCAAGATCGAGTGGAAGGCTCTTGTGGACGGTGCACGTTCTTTGGGATACACCGAGCTTCCGGATCACGCACCAGACACGACGGCGCTAGAATCCGACGAACCATTTCTCAGGAAATTCCACCACGCGTTGCTCGAGCTCCACCTCGAGGAAGGCTCTCTCGTCTGCCCCGAAACCGCTAGAAAGTTTACTGTCAGCAAGGGAATCCCAAACATGCTTCTCCACGAGGACGAAGTTTGATTATTTATCTTCTGTTCTTGATTTTGAAGATTCTGATTCTCAGGGAGCAAGAAATTTCCAAAGGATTAAAGTAGAAATATTATCATTGAATGCTTCTGGCCAATAGATTAATTCCTCTTGCATTGTGCTATGGATGATTCTTAAAATGTAGTAGTACTCTTCCAAAATCTTAATCTTCTTTCCTGTTGAAAACTTCTCCAATCTTGTTATTCTACTTTAAGCACTATCTTCATACACTCGTAGACAAAGTAACTTATTGCAGCCGAAGGCAATACCTGGAGATGAAACAGAGTAACATATCAGGCTTTGGAAACAATACACAGGTTGAGTTTGGTAATGTGGTGTTATGGAAGAACTATCATGCAAACCTGGAGCAAGCTAGGTAAAAGTCCAGCGTATAAAGCCGGGATCCCTCCTCTATCAATGATATTGAATCCCATGGCTAACGCACTGAGCTTGTCTCTACCAATCTGCATCTGAAGCTGCCGTCTCACTACTTCAAATGGATAGGTAGCTACTTCAGTACAAGCACCTGCCAAAGCACCGTACATGAGCGTTCTGATGGGTCCTAACTCAAGCCGGTCCAGAGCATTGAGTTCTTGCCCTTGCTGCTTCATGTCTTTGAGCCTTTTCCTGCCTTCGGGTGTATGCAGATAGGATGATTTAAGGATATCGTAAACGCCATAGAAAACTGCACCGGACAGAGCCATGCTTGCTATGGACGGGACTAGACCCTTGTAGAGAGACAACAATCCTTCGTTTTGGATCATATACTTGAAAGCTCCTCCGATCCCACCCAAGGCTTCTCCACCCCGAGCCACTAGTTTTGTTCGTATCTACGCAGTAGAACACATTTCAGTCATAAAGTTTCCACATGCATGTTCTTAAAGTCCTGTCCAAAACTAAATGCTTACTAACACTAGACTTCTATGTAACTACAATTCTCTAAAGCACAGAACTTTCCCATATTTGATCTAAAACTGGTTGTAAAGGTAAGAGCTTACAGTATCGAGTGGCAAGCAGAGTACGGTAGCGGTAATCCCAGCAGCAGCTCCGGCAACGAATCTCTCAAAGTTGGTTGCTTCTTCATTCCCAGCGATTCTAAGCAACTGCTTTCTGTAGGTATCGTAGGCACAAAAGTTGACTGCTTTGAAAGGAGCCGTTCGGAGAACATTGAGCAAATTACCTTTCCAGAATCCTCTGAAGCCTTGCGTGGTCGCGATTGTCTTAGCCACCACCAACAAATTCCTCTGCTCACCACGAACTGTATATTCCAGCTTTAGTCTCTCAAGTGGGGCTAAGAAAGTTCTGCCATCAACAACAACAAAAACAAAAACGCATTTTTAGAACCAAAGCCAAATTGGGGGAAAAAAAACGATCATGGTGTTTGGTTGAGGCATTTCATCAGACGACTTATAGGCGTACTAATCGAAGAATATATACTTGGAAACCATGGCAGCTACGGCACCGGCCCAGAGATGCTTTCGTGTGTTCATGGTCCCGCTTCTCCTCACTCCACTGAAAACTCTTCGTTTTCCATTTCCCTTGCCGCGAATCTCGTCGTTTTCCGTCAAAGCATCCCGCTCGGATGCGTCTTTACTCAAGCTCACGGAAAGGAACAGCAAGCCCTTACCGGAGCGGAGGCGGGTTTGCTTTCTCCAGTAACCGGAGAAATGCACAGGCTCGGAGTCGGAGCAAACGCATTTGGAGGAGATCGAGTCGAAGAAGGAAGAGGAAACGCCTGGCGGTTCGAGAAACAAACCACCGGTGCTGAAGAAAGCTTCATTGGATTGATCGCTAGAGCTGGAAGAAGAAGAAGGATCGTGAGGATGGATACGGAGTCCTGACATTTGGATAATGAAAAGGAAGGAGAAGATTCCATTAGAAATTGTATACAAGAGCTAATTTGGGAATTTACAAATTGAGTGGTGTTGGACAGGTCGGACCGGTCTTTGGCTACAAATTATTAATTTTATGTAACTTTTGACCTCATTGTGTAAATTCCAAACCTTGGCTCCTCCTGACACCTGCGGTGCTGACGTCAGCACATCCGCGTAGCAAATAGCCGTTGGGAGCACACATGCCGTCGGGAGTCGGTTCCGATGATATAAATAGCGGATGGCTTTAGCGCCAACTTCATTTTTCCATTAATCTCACACTAGGGCTCCATACGAGAGAGAGAGAGAGCGCGCGAGAAAAGCGATTAGGATTTTTTGTTCGTAAAGTCTCAAAATGCAGAAGATAGGGTTTCCAGCGATGAAGAGCTTGGATCAGATGCGTTCGTTGGCTGGATCGGCGAAGAATTTCTCCTTCCCTTCGCGTCAACCTCAGGATTCCGTCTCTTCCGGAAATTTCTCGAATCTGAAGTTTACTGCAGGTTTTTTCCCGTTCGTTTGAGCTTGATTTGAGAATTTCGTTCCGATGCTTTCTGAAATCGCGCTCTATTGATAATCGCGTTTCTGTTTTCCAGAAAAACTGGTGAAGGAACAGGCTTCTATGAAATCAGATCTCGAACTGGCGGTATTTCGAATGCTATCTCGATTTCTTCTTACATTCTGCGTCTATACAAACTTAAGTTTGATCGATGTGCTTAAGAGGTATGTATAGTGGTGTTGCTAGGATTGCATCTTTGGTTGCAGTTCTACCTGTTCGTTGTTAACCGGAATAAGCAAGAATCTGAGATCTCTCTGCTAATTTTGCGAGTCTTTGATTATGCGCGAGAACACCTTATTTTGGAAATAATGCTGGATTGATAGTTTCGAGTTGTTGTTAATTTGAATGATGTATTGCCAGAAATGCATTTTTACCGGAATTTGATAGAAAATATTTTTGCATGATCCAGAATTCTAAGCTGAAAAAGTCAGTGGATCATATACTTGGTTTAGAGGAAAAACTGCAGAACGCTTTCAATGAGAATGCTAAGCTCAGGGTGATTCAAAAGGAGGATGAAAAGCTTTGGAGAGGGATGGAGTCCAAATTTTCTTCAACGAAAACTCTCTGTGACCAACTTACCGAGACTCTGCAGCACTTGGCCTCTCAGGTTCAAGAAGGTAATTGTAGATGCACATTGGTCGTTAGATTCTTGAAACTACTTTTGCTTTATCTGTTTCCTAAATTGCCTCTACAGCTGAGAAGGATAAGGAGACTTTTGAGTCCAAATTCTCTACTAGTGCGGAAGCAATAGACTCTCTGAAGCAGCAAATGCAAGATCTGTCCTTAAAATTGGGTGCTGCTGAAGAAAACATCAAAAGCCGTAAGTTGTTAGTTTGTTTCAGATATTCATGGGAAAACCTTTAATTTGAAATGACTGCATTCCTGCAGTATTGGTTTACCAAAGTTTCTCTATGGTTCTTTTGTTGGATATCGTTATACCTTTTAGTTACACTTAAGTCAACCATGCAGGGGAGAAGGAACTAGAGGAGCTCAAACTCGAGAAAGAACAGAGAGAAAACTCTTATCTAAGTGAACAGTGTAGAACTGCCAGTCTCGTTAAGGAGAAAGGTAAATTTCTTGTTCTTTTTTAGATTCAAGATGTCATTTATGCTGTAGATCACATGGTTTATCTGATTTAATAGCTTCAACATGTACCCACACAACAAATACGTTGAAAAGTCTATGTTTCTGAAGGATTTTCACTATTTAGATGGAAACAGTAGCTTGCATACAGGTTATTTCCCAAAGAAACACACACTTTAGTTATACAAAGATTCTGTATGTATTGGATCTTAACTGCACCTCTCTGGACGTATTGTATATCAAGTTTATAACAAGAGTTTATTCCTAGATCACATGATATGTGTTTAATGTTGCCATAAAGATAACACTGCAACTAGGAAACGAGAATACACTTCTTTTTTTATCTGTTACAGCTATATGATAGTATTGGTATTTGCATTAGATCTTCTTATTTTCCCTTCTTTGTGCCAGACGCTGTGATACTGAATTCTGAAGCAGCTATAGCTGAATCAAAACTCAACATTGAGAATTTAAACTTCCAACTTGGGAAGCTGCGTATTGAGTTAACATCAAAAGAAGATGAGGCCAGATACCTTGTTGGCGTCAAGGAGAAGCTGGAGCAAGAAAAGATGAATATTCTGCTGAGTGCTGATAATCTATCCGAGAAACTGGTTAACTCAGATCAAGAGGTCAAGAAGCTCGAGGGCTTTGTCCACTCGTTGGCAACCGAGTTGGCTGAATTGGACAAAAAGAACTTGGCCTTCATGGAAAACTTTGATAAGCTAAGTGGTTTATATGACACTCACCTTATGCTGCTCCAAAAAGATAGAGATATTGCTGCTGATCGCGCTCAAGGATTGTTCAATAAACTCCAAGGAGAGTTCTTGACTGTAACTTGCCAGAAAGAAGCTCTGCAATCAGCAGGCATTGAGTTATATGAACAAAAAGAGGAACTTAGGAAAGCTAAAGAGTCATTAGTTTCCCAACTTGCCGAGGAACGCTGCTCCGCAAGGCAGGCAATTGAAAAACTAGAGTCTGAAGCAAAATGCCTAGTTTCAACAAATGCCGAGACAGAAGCAGTGATCACAAAGCTGAAAGAGGAAATAGAAGCTTTGTTGGAAAATCTGAGGGCCTCAGAGAATAAGACGGTAGATTTATTTCCATCTTTTTGTGCAGCCTATCAAATTATCAATACATGGTTGCAATGCTTAATCTGTTCATGTATCATGCAGCAAGAATTATTGTTAAAGCTTTCATCATCAGAGATGGAAAGCAAAGAGAATTATGAGAAGCTGCAGGCTGATGCACAGAGAAAGGCTGAAGAAATGGAGCTTTTGCAGAACGAAAATGAGAGCAATAAGCTGCGTGTGGATTCACTGTCGAAAGAGGTGAACCAGCTCCAAAGCGTTATTGAAGAGAAAGAGCTTCTTATCCATCAATGCAAGGAAACTGAGAAGAAGCTAGACCAGAAAACCACAGAGGTATAAGAAGATGGATATTGGACAAGGCTTTATGAGTTTTATCTACCTTTTAGTACTCGTCATATATGAACTCCACTGCAGGACAAGGAGCTACTGGCAGCTGCTGAAACTAAGCTTCTAGAGGCGAAGAAGCAATATGATCTGATGCTGGAAAATAAACAGTTGGAATTATCAAGGCACTTGAAGGAATTATCTCAGAGAAATGACCAGGTATATCTGGATCAATTCTCCATATATGCTCGGATAGTACGCCGAGTATTTACTTAGGGCCCTTAATCGAATCCAAATATAACACACCCAAAAATATGACGTATATGCTTTTCTGACGCTTTTCAGGCAATTAATGAAATCCGGAGGAAATATGATCAGGAGAAGCAGGAAATTGTAAATGCTGAAAAGGAAAAGGTAAATGCTGACAAAATCTTTTATGGTGTTCGACTAAGCAATTGATCGTGGTTCTGAGATGTTTTTGGTTCTGATTTCAGGTTGAAAAGGTTATCAAAGAACTGTCCACGAAATATGATAAAGAACTTTCAGATTGTAAAGCCGAATCAAAGAAGCAGTTACTGACCATTCAGGAGGATCATGCTTCTCTGGTATAGTAATCCCCTCTTAAACCTGATGTTTCTGAATACACTTATACAAATGTTAGAGTGACTTTTGTAAGATTTCACTCAGAATTATAAGTTTAGTTGCAGAAGAGGCATATATCTGAACCAAAGTCCCTCTTCTCTGGATTTTCTGCTTGGAAGTTTATGACTGGGCAGGGTTTAACAAACAAATAGGCTGATAAAGCTGCATGTTCTTCAGATACTCACTATTCGGGAGGACCATGAAAATAGGGAGTTCAATCTCAAAGCCAAGCACGATGAGGAACTGAGACAAGCTCAGATTCAGGCTGAGACTGAATTAAAAGAGGTACCAACAGACATATTTTGATGGTTCGATAGGAATATGAAGCCTCTGGTATTCAAGTAATTTTTATCTTTATCCAGAGAATAACGACAATCAGGGACGAGCATGATGTTCAGTTGAAAGCATTCAAGTGTCAGTACGAAGATGATTGCAAGAAGCTGCAAGACGAATTAGATCTTCAAAGATCAAAAGTTCGTGTTTATCAAGATTCACCATAAGATTGCACCTGTGTTAAAGTTTAAAACCTAATGACATAAAAGAGTTATCGTTGCAGGAAGAAAGGCAAAGAGCTTTGTTGCAAATGCAGTGGAGGGTTATGAGTGACAAACCGCCTGAAGAGCAAGAAGTGAGCTCTAGGAAGGTTAGACCCGAAATCATTTTGATCCCCTAAAAGGATACTTTATTTACTATATATGCATCATCACATTTGGAAAACACAAACATATATTGATTTCGATAACTGAAATCACATTAAAGGAATATTCAGTCTCATCTGTCAAAGTGAGAGGTTCTCGTCCTTCTGGCATCAGGAGAAGCCAGCATACAGCAGCGATGCATGATGACGATGAACAGGTAGGAATCAAAATACCATGTTTTTTCTTTTACTGTTTCTTTTACATATGGATGAAATGCAGGATTCCCCATTTGTAAAGGCAACAGAAACACCTGTGACAAAGATGTTGAAGAAAGTTGAAAATGTGAATAAAAGAAGCTTGATGAGCAGTCCAAAGCATCATAGCAAGGTAAACATTTAAAACAAACCCTTTATAACTAGCTTTTGCATCAGCTCTCAACCTCATCGTTTTGTTTTGTGGTTCAACTTGGCAGGTGACTCGTCGTGAATATGAAGTTGAAACGAAAGATGGGAGGACCACGAAACGAAGGAAAACAAGAGGCACCGTAATGTTTGAGGTAACCTGTTCTGCGCATTAAACCCTCTGATTTAGTTCATCTTAAATATTCAGATATGTTCGAGAGCCAATCTTATTCACCTTTTTTTTTAATGGTTACAGGAGCCACGGAGACGATCGACTCGGTTTACACCCACAGCTAAGACCCCCAGAAGTATCGCTAAGGTAAGATAGATCCCAACACTGCTTCACTCAAGTAAAAACATTTTGACTGCACTTCTTTATACTAGAAGAAATGTTTAAGAGGTGAAGGAAACATGAAGAAGAATGATAAATGTTTGCTTAGATCATAGTTATGGTGTGTTTTTAACACATAGAATGTCATGTTCATGTACAGGTTGCAGCCATAAGCAGTCATCCTCCACGCTCTGCAAATATTGGAGATCTGTTCTCGGAAGGCTCCCTAAATCCATATGCTGATGATCCCTACGCATTTGACTGAACTCCAAGTTGAATCTATCACAAAGCTTGGCTCCTACAATGGTTTTCCTTACTCTAAAGCTCTCTGCTACAGTATCAGGAAATTATTACAGAAGTTAAATGTTGCTCACCCATTGTACAGACGTTTCCTATTGCATCAACTTTTTTGATTTGTTAATTGGGCGTGTGGATGTTGATGAACTTGTTACTAGTTACTGAGATACAAATTAAAACTCTGTGATTGATGGAATCTGTTAATTGTAAAAGATTCAAAGGCAAACGCTGTTGATTTCCGTTGGGTTATAGTAGTTTAGAAAATAATCATGAAAATCTGATAAGATGATAATGATCCTTTTACGTAAGAACAACATTTCACTGGAACTAGCAAAAGCTGATACAAAAATTAAAATTCTGATTAAGGTAATGACGATCCTAATTATCCTTTTTATTTTGTTTAACGACGACGATGATCCTTTTACATAAGAAGCGGAACTAGCAAAAGTTGATACAAAAACATTGATTCCAACATTCAAGGGGAGGGGATCAAGGAGATCGGAGAAAGAAGACTAGGAAGAAAGTGGAGAGCAACAGAACCAAAGCGACGAGAAGTAGCAGCTCCATCAAGCTGCAAAGCTTAATCCGATTCATCCTTTTCTTCTCCATCGCAAGCTTTCTCCTCAGATCCTCTATTTCTCTTCGTGTATCTCCTTCCTCCTGCTTCCAAACAACACCAAAAGAGGTTCCCATGAGATTTTCGCAACTACGGATCCACTGTAACAAATCAATTCCGATCCGAAGAAGAAAAAGGAGAAAGAAGAAGGATCTACTAACCTCGCCGGCGGTATCGATGGTGGTGGCCTTCAGATCGCGGGATGATGCGAGTGAATAGAGTAGCATCGAAGCTCTGGCGCAGCGGATTGCAACTCGCTCTCTGATCGATGCGTCTTTGCTTGTCATCTCCTCCTTCATCTCTCTCTCTCTCTCTGCTTCTCTCTATTTCGAATTTTCGATTTTGAGTTTCAAAACTAGGCCAGATTTAACAGAGCGCGGGATTGGTTGTTGGTCTTGCTAGGAGTGACAGGTGTCAATATATAATTAGTTATGCTACCTGAAAATAAATCAATTTTTGAAAAAGAAAAATCACCCAGAAAATATGCACTTCTAGGCTTTTTTTTCGGGGTTTTCCCACCCAAATCCTAAATGTTCCCTCGCTTATGATGTTGAATTAGTAACGAAAATCATTGAGAGTTTGTTTCTTACATTTCCTTCCTCCGTTTTTCTGAAACCCTTTGAACGAATACTTCGAAATCTGATCGGAACTAAGAAAGGGTAACGAAAACCGTCTGGTATACTCGCTTGCTGTCGCCGGCAAATGACAAATCAAGGGTTAGCTTCCGATTTTATTCTTCCCATCAATTTTGTTTTCCTAGTAATCTAGACTTGCTTAATCACATTGATTTTGATCGGTTATTAAATTATTGGCATACAAATCCAAAAGCGCTGCATCGTTTGTATTTTTTCTAGAATTTTAGGTTTTCCTTTGGAGGAATTCTGATTTGAAGATTTGCTGCTGTTTTATCTTCCGAACGCATAAACTGGATTAGTTTTGATCAACAATTCCCTATTTCTTCATATGGTTATTATAATATGTTAACGATTGTGTTGAATTACTAAGTTTGGAGTCAATGATCAATATTACGATTGGATCTGCTGTTTATTCACTGCTATTGATTCTCATGCCTTTGGCTCGTTATATATAACTCCTTCAGAACTACAATATATTTTTTTAATACTATACACAGGCTATGTAATTCAATTTAGTGTTGATGATTTCATTAAGCAAGCTGCTATTTACCGTTAAGGTTACATTTTCAAAACCTTTTTCGTATAAACTAATCTTCATCTAATGTCTTATTGCAAGGCTCTGCATCTTGGTTTTGTTCCCCACCTGTGGAACAATATAAAAGCTTCACGACTCTCCTTGTGGTAAAATATTCCCTTACCTGAGTCTCTGTCTCATCATTTTAGCTTTTTATTATATGTTTCAGCTTTAAGTAACTCATTCGGTTTCAGCTTTTTAAATCCGAATGAAGGCTTGTCAATAAACGCATCGTGGCCTGATACTGAACCATCAATATATTCAGATAACTTGGGTTTATAACAGCTCAAAGAAAAACCCATTTTTGCCTGCGGTGATATTGTTGATAGTGACTACACTCGAGTTATCTTGTCAAACTCTGGTGTATCATACCTTGAACATTACTATAGTCAGTAACCATAAGTGTTTTTAATGCAACTCTAATAGATATCATTCCGTGAACGTGTTATGTCAAAGTATAATTCAATGCAAATACGGATAGGTTTGAGAGATCTAAAAATTAACCAACCAAAGAAATGGAATATCGTTCATAGAAGCATACAAATCAAACTTTTTGGTACTTGTAGTGTATATACATAATAACGTTGTCCTTATCTAGTCTCTGCCTCATATTATTCCGTACAAACATCATAGACTCAGTAACCTTGAAGACACCCTAGCACAGGAGCCTAAGTAAATTTGATGGTTTAAACAGTTTTGTAGAGCTATGATCATGTGGGTGCATGAACTTGCAGTTGGGACAAACGGGAGTTGATGTGCACAGCATGACCAGCATGTGGCATTTCATGCACACTTTAGTCACCATCTCTTGCTCCTTGTGATCAGCATCATCATCGTCATCACCTTCAAAGGAAAGCCAGGATAGTGATCGGTTCCCAATTGTGCTTTTCTTACTTGGACTTGTCAAGTTTATAGCCTTTGATGACACGGTTTCGTTGTGATTTGAGGATTCGTTTATCTTTGTGGTTGTTCTTGAAGGTGAATAAGAAGGTGAAAGGTTTAGCTCAAGGTCTAGGCTCATCTTAGGTCGTCCTGCAATCACAGGATCTTTGGGGTATGTCCTATGATCCTCAGATGTTCTTGAGTATCCCTGCAAACATGAGTATCAATGTTTTAGATGCATGTTTTTGCGCATATCATAACACATAGATAGATATATCGCCATATTCGATACAGATAGAAAATTACTTAATACATATATGAATATTTATACCTTAGCCTCTATGGATTGCTGCCAATCTGAAGGTAGTGGAGTGTGGAGATGGAGTTCAAAATCAAAGGTAATTGATCTCATACTCTCTGAGTTTGGTCGTTCATTGAACAGAGTGCTCTGAAGTTTGCCCTGTGATTGATCGTCTTGTTTGCTCTTCTTGAATGAATTGTGGAACTCTTCTCCATAGATTGTGAAGTCCCTCTTTCTAGAGTAGAGGGTTCCTTCTTGTCGAGAAACCATTAGCCTCAGTCTTTGTTTCCACAGAGTGATTTATGCTGTTAGGGAAAGTTTAAACTCTCTCTCTTTGAACCTATGAGGAAATGAGCAGATAGACTTGAAAAGTAAGTGAAGATCATCTCTATATATATACATGTAGGAAAACCTTCAGGGGAGTTATTGTCTCCACCGGTTTATATGGAGTAATTGAATTAGATATACCAATATATGAATTTATAAATGGCTGATAAATTAGATATTCTAAAATATAAATATGAATTTTATATATAGAGTTATTTACTTTGGCAATAAAAGTGATCTGTCGAGTATAGCATTTTAGTTTGGATATTTTGAAATTTAGAGGAATTAAAAAAAAAAAAGAGAGGGGAAGAAGTAATGTGAAGCATGATGTGTGAGTTCCAAGTTGGGTGTGTTCAATAACTCCAAACAGGCTCATTTAATTGCTTAGATGTGAAGTGCTAACCAATTTCTCTTTCTATTTTTGCTTTTCTCTTATACCATCATTCATTAAATAGATTTATTAAAATCTAAAACAAACAGATTGTTGGTGAAGTCATATGGATGTATCATGTGTATGTATGTATGTATGCATCATGTATGATGATAAGATGAATTATGTGAAGGAAGAAAAGAGTTGGGAAATAAGGGAGAGGTCAATAAATAGGGAGAGACAATAAAGAGAATTAAAGATGGGAGAAGGGAAGGTTGATGAATTGATGAATGCCGATGCAACTTTAATACTCACATTAACTCCTACTCCCACTTTTGGATATATAACACAAATTATACACTTTACTAACCAACTTCCCTAAAAAATAATTAAAATATAGCTTAAGTTCATATCCCGAGTTGTTTATGAAAACAAATCACATTTACATTTACATTTAGCTTCTTTGGGTCTGGTTAATGGTTTATTCAGATTATGTAATCCTTTTGAAGTCACTCTTTTTTAGAAAACTTGTTTACTTCATGCATGCAGCAGGATGGTTGTTGTACTTTTAGATATGTTAATTCTATCGTCTAATACAACATTGACCGACAAAAGAAACAGTTTCAAATAATTAAAAGCATTTCAACGGCTTCCTATCTCATGTCATATCATGAGACATGAGCTTAGCTTCCTCGTTTATATTTTCGGCTCTTTTTGGCTAGTTTCCTCATAAATACCCAACTTCTATTTTCGCCCTTCTTAATTTTCTCTATCGATATATTTCTGTGTGTTGTGTATATATGCATTTTCTGTGTGTTAACCTACTCTTTCCTACAAGGTAATTAAAATCCCCCCCCCCCTTTTTAAGTAGTACTTTATAATTAGGTAAAATAAAGAAGCAAGTCACATTTGTCAACTGAAATATTTTTGAGATCAATCACTATAACCAGACGACTGCGGATTAATATTAAAACTCGATTTGCTGATATTTTTGATAAATGGTCGGTCTAGTGATGATGACGTTCAACGACAAACACAGCCGTGAAACCGAGAGAAGGATCGATGTCTGAAATGGTGTATTTAAAAATTAATTTACTCTATGCCCCCAATAATGTCATTATAATTATATACACACGATGTCTGTAGCTCCACTTATAATTGCGGATCTCAATCGAAACTGAACTAAAGATAGCTTCACTTGTATATTTTGTTCATTTTTTTCCCGATAAGGTGATCATATGTTAATGCATGTCCAATTAGGAACCAAAATCGTATATAAGCCATTATTTTCTATTAGGGTTTCATAGTTTGATTGTGTTTTTGTTTGTGAATCAGATTATTGTGTTTACTTTCAAAACATTCAGTGTGTTTAGTAGACATCGTATGATATGATATTTTGTTTGATAAGTAGTACTTAACTGTAAGTATGTGATTAAGATAAATATAAAATATTGCAGTAGAATGAAGAAAGAAAGAACATACTAAAAACTTTTAAAGGATGGGAGAACAAGCTTTTAAAGCTCCCAACATCCGCTCCTCCATGCATGCAACCACAATTAAGATTCATGTCTCTTCTCTTCAATTTATTTCGTACTGTAAACTTTTAATTTCATAAATTTAATATACATATATTTTTAAAAAAAAATGTGTTTGAAAGCTACAATAAATCATCAATAACATAATCAAACTACACGGTTAGATGGAGGAACATAATTCTGAGTTCCTCAGTTAGTATAATTATTTCCTGAAATAAATTAGTTGTTATTTCCTGGTGGAAGAATTAAATATTCAGTACTTGTCTACCCGTTTCCATTTAATAAATTGTGAACCGATTATAAATGCAAAATTCAAGTATATATCTACTTGTCAATAGAACATAAATTTTATCATACATTTATCGAACCGTCTGAACTACGAATGTGTGATCCCATAAATTTTACTATTACATAGTGTTTAGTTTCACTTTTACCTTTAACCCAAAACATATTAGTTTCACGAAATTTTCAAATAGATTAGATTTTTCTTTATTTCCATTGTAATATCGATTTTAGTTTTTTCTTTTACACATTGAAAAAATTAAGATAATGTGTATGACAATTATCATTTATGCAATATATATTGAATTTTTCTGACTAATAGTCTACAAACATATAAATGTAAACAGTTTACTTAATTTGTGTACAAAATCTTAAAACCACATTTGTAGTGAAAAGCAAGGAAGCAGCATTTGGAAAAACATTATAGGGTTTTACTAGAATCAGTTATGGTATATTCTCTCATCATACGTACGTCCAATGTTTTTGTTTGTGCGGGTACTGCCATGCAAATGTCACGATTGGTTTACGTGCGCAAAGATCAGAGGACCTCTCTACGCACAGCTTTTGAGTTGTGACTTTTGAGCTTTGACCCTTTTGTGCTACTTTAAGCCGTCTCGTCTCTTACATGTTATCCTGTAACACAATCGGCATCTGTATAATAACATTAATGTAAAATAGTCAACAACATATAATTCTAATGTAGAGTTCATACTAGTAAACAGTCTGTTTTGAAAACAAAATGCATGTGACGATGAACATTAAATAAGGTATATGGTCTTATTGATTACGGTTGATTTGTCCAAGAATTAGGTTTGAGAAGATGTGTTGATGATGTGAAATAAATGCATCACCCGTAAATTATGTCAAACAAATCTTAAATGTAATGGAAATATATTATAGTTTTGAATAGTCTGCCGGGAAAAGATAGATATGCTATATACAATCATATAGACTATTTGTGCTTATCCTATAATTGGTTGGTTGACATATTTTTATTTGATGGGAGTATAAAAGGACACTATAGAATAACATATTTAAGTTCGTGTACGTATTCTATGTAGGGCAACAAAAAATGTTAGGCTAAAAACGTTCTCTTGATTTAAACGTATTAAAAAGTTAGGTGCAATGAAGTATATAATAACAACGCAAAGATATACAAACCTAATCCGATCATACAAATTTGATTATCGTTTAGTTGGGTGATTTGTTTTTCGTCGGCTTAAGAGACTTAAAATGGGCTAAACTCATTTCAGTTCGTCGGTTTTGTTGAAATTTTATCCCTCGTCAGTCTCCTTCATCATCTTTACAAGTTGCAACAGCAATTGATGAAATCTTAACATTAATTGGACAATTTTTCTGTCACTGATTCTCAAAGAGTGAAAATTAATGGAAAGGTTGAGAAGGCAATTGAATAGTCGAGGATTAGGTTATGTTTGGGCCAGGCCGAGCCTTCTAAGTTCTAACTCGGGATACACTTGATCAGATTAATACAGAAACAAAGCCCATCAAAACCTTAGACCCAGTGATAACGAACTGTGAACATTTATCATCATCTAAATGTCTCACGTGATAATCAGGACTTATATTAAACTACTCTTCTTTTTGGGTAGATTAACTTGAAATAAATAAAACTGATCTGATCTGATCCTGATTGTCCAATTATCTTCATGTGGGAAAATGGGAGCAATCAAATTGGTTTTGGCTTCTATATTCTTGTTGATAATGTTTCTTCAGCATTATAAGACATGTGGTAAAAAGGAAGCACTAATTGATTTTTTGGATTATGTATATACTTTATGAATTTTTCTTTGTTTGTTAGACTCTTACGACTTAATCAAATGAAATTGTCAATTTTTTTTTTTTGACGACAATGAAATTATCAATTTTCCAGTCTTTTCAAGATTATTTTCTAGCACTATCAAACAAATTCAAGTGGGATAATTATCGATGTAGAAAGAAGAAGAGATAGATTGTACCAAAGAGAGGGAAAAATTGCAGAGAGGGGAGAAAAAACTCTGCAAATTATAAAATCCCTCTCATGAGGAGAATTGATATGTGCCTCCAGAACAAAGCTAACAAGAATGGATCTTGCTGCTGAAAGAAGAGGCATCTTTCTTCTATTCGAAAACCTAACCCACAAGCAACAAAATAAACACTCTGTTTTCTTAATCATTCAACAAACTAAAAACAATCAAAAGAGAACCAATCGGCTTCGGAACTGTTGAAACTGGAGAAATCGCATTGGTATATATATATATAGATATAGACTACAGAGGCGGCCTCTAGTGTTCTGCTTCAAAAACCCTAATTTCCACGTTTTAAGGGCCATAATGGGCTTCTTTAATAAAGCCCATATCAGTTGTAAGCCCGTTGAGGCTGCATCTGAACGATTGATTAATCAGAAAGGAAGAAAAGATTAATCAATCATTCAGATGCAGCTTCAACGGGCTTACAACTGATATAAGCTATATTAAAGAAGCCCATTACTTCCAAAATTAATGATATTATTTAGAAGTAAAATGATGTTATTCATAAGAAATTATTCAAAGACTAAACCGGGTTATAAAAAAACCCGATTTTTTACAACATGAGATTCCCATTCCCAAAACCCAAAATTAGCAGAGACAAAAACAACAACAAAAGAAACAACAGAGCAGCAAATACATAATAAGAAACAGAAAAAGAAAAAAAAAACACAGAGCTCTTCGTCTCTGGATCTTAGACCATTTTCCAGAGATTATTCATGAGAACGAAGCTTGATGAAGAAATAATAAAAGAAAAACAACAACATATTACATATCTTTTAAATTACAGACTCAGCAAAATGAGTCAGCAGCATATCCTTCACTTCTTCAATAGATTCCTCGAGAAAATCCTCTTGCAATAAGGATTATTACGCAGAATCGAATGTGGCCTTATGACTTCCACAAGTGAAGCATGAAGTGGACCCTGTTCCAATTTCACCCCAACACATCCTTAAAAAATCAATCTTCTCAAATATAGTTCTAACAAAAAAAAAAGTTTTATTATTTCCTGTTGCGTGTGCATGACTGCATGGGTACGTACCTTTGTGGCGGCAAGAGCGGCTTGGATGACGAAATTAGCGTAAGGGTCCTGAAGAAGCTGATCAAAGTGAGGAACAGAGACGAGCTCACGCACGATCTGTGGACGACTCTCCGGACAGTGCATGAGACATCGTTCCACCATGTGGCTACTGAATTTCTGCATCGAGAGCTGAACGTAATGCCCTTTTAGCTGAGTCAACATCATCGCTACCGCAGAAGGAATCCTCAGTTCTATAACGAACTGCACTGCGTAGTTCCTGCAAAATTATAAATCATCCCAAAAAAAAATGTGTGTTTTCTTTTGTTAAGATTCTTCTACATTTGATTTGCGTGTGTAATAATTAATAAAAGACCAAGATTTCGATAAGTTTTTACCCAAACGGGTCTTGAGCAAGGAGGAGACTGTTTCTAGAGATTTCAGCGATCAGCTTCTCTCGTTGCTGTCTCATCGAATAAGCAATGCATTTTTGGAGCACACAGCATCCATGTCTATGCGTTGCTATTTCAGTACAGAACTTTGTCGCCGCATCAAATATAAACTGTAAGAAAAAAAAACTTAATTAATTATCTGAAAGATCAAAGAGTTAAAAGAGAGTGTGACTTAATTAATTTGCTGAACCTTGTTATCTTCTGTGCCAAGGCATTGCAAGCAACGTTGAATCACATGGTTTCCATTTAAATCCTTGATCAAGTCGAGAAAACCAGGTCTCAACGCAGCTTTCACAAGCGAAATCTGTTTTCCTGTTCTGATTGTTTCCACTAATCTCTGAACAACTCGAGTACTGCATAAAAAAAACAGTATTATGATGAGACCAAACATCAAAAAGACAAAATAATGTTTTTTTTTTGTTTACCCGTATGCGTTGAGAGAGATCCTGATAAGTTGACAAGGCTCAGCAGTAGCCACGAGCACGATCTGTGTCCTCTGTTCTTCAGTACAAACATCCAAGAGCTTCTGCATCAGATAGTTCCCAAACGGATCCATCATAAGCTCAACGACATGAGCAATAACCTCGTTGAAGATAATCATTGCATCAACAGGAGTCCCTTCGTCGAAGATCCTCTGCAAGAATCTACATCCGTGCTGATCTTTAGCCATCAGGTAAACATATCCCTGGATGTCACACATGTTAGGCAGACTCTGATGACAAATCTCTGCATTCGCATGATCATTCATCGTTAACCCTCGAGTACCGCCACTGCTGCAGCTTCTCTGATGATGATCCAAGCTTTTACCTTCCATGAAGAAACTCTCCTCTGAGCCGCCTTTTGAAGCAGGAGAGAAAGGAGCCTGAGCTCCTCCACCTTGGCAGAACAATGGCAACATGTCTGAGTACTCTCCTCGATTCAAACTCGACCCGAAAATCTCATGGTGACCGCCATTGTTGTAAGCAGCACTGTTTGAGAAGCTAGGCCACCCGATTTGCCGAGAGTTGGCTGTTGAATCTTGAACTTGATTCCCAAGCATGAAGCTTCTCTTGTTTTCGTTTTTCCTTTGATCGAATCCGGAGCTCTTTGGTGTACGGAAGAATCCGCCGCCGGAGACGAATCCTCCACCGTCGTCACTCGGTTCGTATTTCCCGAAACCGGAGAGTGGATCTAGAGTGAAACCGGTGTGGTTCGACTCAGGGATCGAGCAGAGAGGATCTCTGTGAGTCTCCGATCGTCCGTACCGGAGCTTGTCTTCTTCGACATCCTCCCTGATCTTCATACGGTAGAGATCTTCGCACAGACCCAACTCGTCGCCGTTAAGAGTCAGTGGATCATGATGATGGTAAGTGACCGGCGGAGAAGAGTGGTTGTGCTTAGGGATGATCCCGTTGAACGGAGGAGAAGCGAACGGGGAGGAGCTATCGTCGGAAGAAGAGAATCCGTTGTTGGAGAAGGAGCTCGAGAGAGAGTAGTCCGACGAGGAATTGAAAGAGAATCTGTTGTTGGTTGGGGAAAAGTCTCCATGAAAGAAGTTTTGACGAAGAAAGTTGAGGCTCGGAGAATGAGACGGTGTTCGTAGAGGAGACGAAGGAGACGAAGAAACACAAGCTTCTCGAAACTCACCCATCTTCATTATATATATACCTCTCTGAATTTCAAAACAAGAGATTAAAATATACAAACGATTTTTTTTTTTTTTGGTTCTCTGCTTAAAAGAAACGGAGAAGATAACGAAATAATTTAAAAACAGAATCAAAAGATCTTACAATAAAAAAAAAAAAAGTTTACAGAAGAAGAAAAGTTGTTGTTACTTAAAAAATCGTCGTCTACGCCATTAAAATGAAAGTGAAAGGTTCAAAATAAAGCAGTAGTTAAGGAGGAGAATATAGAGAGAGGTAGAGTAGAGAGAGTGTGAATTTCTGATATAAGTCGAAAATATTAGTAGTATATATTTTCTTCTTTTGGCTACGTTTTTTTCTCTAACAGTTTTGGATCAAGTAAATGATTTTTTTGTTAGTATTTCCGCGAAGAAATAAATAAGACAACGTAGATTTCTCCTCGATTTTCTATTCTTACGTTACAATCATTTTCTATTTTCTACGGATTTGATCTAAGACTAAATCAACAATCATGGATTTAGACTAGATCTTTCTGTATATTATCTTTAGGTTTTGAACTGGTAAAACTTTCTGAATTTTCCTAAACTTTCTTAACTAAAAGCAGTATTGAGTATTCTTACTAACGAATATACATGAGATATATTCCTAAATAAAGCATTTGCTACAAATAAAATGATTATAAATATGATAATTCTGATATGACTTACAGACGTTTCAAAAAACTTGGTTAAAATGTTTGCTATATACCATTTATGATCTCATTTTCCATGAATGATAACAAAAATACGGTAGGTGCGGTTCGACCAAAAGTTACTGCATTTTTTGCGTTCACTATTCAAAGCGTATAGATGTAGAAATTAACTGTATAGTCAAAGCAAATTGGGATATTGTTAGAACGGTAAACACTATTTTTAGCAATCTGATTTAGTTGAACAAGATAAATTTTTAAAACGTGAAATATAAGGTTTTAACTTAGTGAAGGATCACGATTTTAAAGATATATTTACTATAATTTTATGTTATTAAGAAAAGGAAAATAAAAAGATATAAAGGCAATAGCGATGTCAAAGTGACTTGGTTTTCATAAGCACAATTGTGGAAGTTAAACGAGAGGTTCATCGCATCTTACTCGTCCGATCCAACTTCTTGGAAACTACTCTTTACTATTTTTAGACCCAAAGCATCTTCTTTTTTCAAAGTAGCCAAGGCATCAACTCTTCTCTTAATTTTCCAACTATTCTCGCATTTTCAGTTTCTTTTGTTAGTAGTATAACTTTTCATTTGAGTGTGCGTATAACTACAACATAAATTTTAAAATTAACAAAACATATGTACTTTAAAAACAGAAGTGATCTATTAATCGGCTAACAAATCGTGTACTTATTGAGCTGAATGAGATTCGATCATGAGTTTTAGTCAATGATTGCAACATTTCCTTTTATCGATCTTGATTCCAATTTTAGGTTAGGATTAATAGTCCGAGTTGAATCGGAAAGGTCCGACTTAACACGAACGGGTTTCCTAGAAATTACTCCGATTTTTTTTTTTAAAACATCATATTATATACTATGGTTGAGAAATACTACCATGTTGTCGTCAAGTTTTTGTTTTTAATAAATTTATGCGTTGTCAATCACGTGTATTTGCTTACTCCACATTGCAATATCAATAAATTTTGTGTCATGCTAACTTAAGTCTTAAACAATTTCTTTTTTTGTTTAAAAATCCATGGTTTGAGCAGACCGGAAAAATAAAACAATAGCTTTTCACCCAAGCAACATCCTCCAAACAGTTTAAGCTCGAACTTGTTAACTATTCAAGGAGATACATTAGAAAAAGCCCTAACGGCTAAAAAACACATCTGAATAATAATAGTAATCATCACCATAACCAACGAAACTGCATAATACAAATCACACTTTGAGCTGAAAGTGTACGGGATACCAACAAGAACACACACACACCGATCAATCTCCGTTTTAAAAGAGTTAAGATGTTACCGAAAAGAGAGAGTTTTAGACGAGGGCGATGCTTGTCTCGCCACCTGGCGGTTTACGGACACCGCCTAGGTAGTCTCTGGACTCTACCTTCCCATCTGCGAATATGTTGTTTCCTCCAATCTCCTTCAGCTTCGCTTGGCTCAGATGCTTCTCAACAGAGGATGACGTGGCATCTCCCTTGAATATGTCGTTCCCTGAAAGCTCTGCGAACTTCTTGTCATAAATCTTCTTTGCTGTCTTCACAGACGAGTCTTCTCCAGCAGACTGCACAACAGTTGAAACATATAGTTTCTCTAAGTAAGTCTATGTATATATAGACAGTGAGATTGCTAAGAGATGTCAAGTGTCTTACGGTTTGAGATTCAGCTCCGAGGTTGAAATTGTCCTTTAATGCCAATGCTCGAGTTGTTCCAGATCGAGGTTTAATCTCAGGCGGTGGTGCAAAGATGTTCTGTCCACTGATCTCTTTGTACTTAGCATCAGAGAGCTGCTTCTTCAGCTTCGAAGCAGATTCGTTCTCCATTGTCCCGCTGAGCTCTCGCTGTTTCGCAACCTCAGGTAAAGAAATGGGCTTTTTAGGAGATAACTCCTCTGCTTCACCGAATGATATATGGCTTATACCACTAAGTGCTTGCTGTAGGGTTAAATCAAGTGTTTTTATGATTAGGACTAATACAATCTAAACAACTCTCTAAACATGGGATATTAGAAAGTTGTTGATAACCTGATAAACCGGTACTGGCTCTGATGCACCATCTCCTTCGTGACGAGAAAAGATCCCACTTCCAGTTATCTCCTTCATTTTATGTTCTGAACAAGGCTTCCTGATGTAACAACATAAACAATTTTTTCACAAGTTTTGGCATTATAACTCCAAGCATGTATATGTGAATAATCAAAAATCCTAAAAACATGGCTCCCTCTGATCTATATATCAGCTAGTTTTGGAGGACTAATTCTCTCAAATCTCCATGGAAAAAGAAACGGCACAAACAGAGAGTTATCCATTATTCATCAAGAAATGTCAGAGATGAATTCAATTCAGAGTACCAGAAACCAAAAATTTTCAGATTCTGCGTACTATATGTTTGAAGTGACAGTACAAACTCTAATGATTTGGGTCACACTTACGAAGTCTCGAGACAAAATTGGAAACTTAATTCAAAGATTGAAGAGGAAACTAATCAACCTTCTGTTCAAGCTCTCAACTTCTTCATCCGTCACTTGACCTCCAAACACCACTTTGCTAATTCCATCCGATGGCTAACAGATTTGAAACAAGAGAGATGAAAACAAACAGAAAAGTGCTATGGATTGACCAAATTGCTCAAATCAAGTCAGAGAGAAATCGAATTCCTTGAAGCGGAGCCGCGTACCTGGTGGGAACGAACGGCAGAGCGAGAAGCGGAGGAAGGAGTTTCCGGCGGTGGAGCCTCCGACCAAGTAAGCAGATCTGCGGTTGACGAGTGCGGCTTTCTCACCGGCGTGTTTCTCTCCATAACAATCTCCTTCTCTAGCAAAAGCGAAACACTGACGCTTTTTCACGGCAACAAATCGAAGAAGAAGAAGAAAGAAGATTTTTTTTAACACCCTTCAGCTTCTTTTACTCTATCCACAGTGTGATTAACCGATCGTGTAAATTGACGCTTTTGCCCTTTCTCTTTCCACCTCACCCTCTCATCGCTTGATCTGGAAGCTTCTTCTCTAGGAGTCGCGGGTGCACGTGTGAGAGTTACGAAAATAGTAACAACTGGTATAAATAAAGCTTATCAAAAATTCAAAATCATCCGTTTTTCTAATTCTAATTAGAAAATTATTGTTATTTTTGTATAATATTTTGATCGGGGTTAGCAGAAATATTGAAATACTTTTCGTGTGTATGGGATAAAAAAATTGAATTATGAGGTAAAAAGAAATGCCATTGGGAAAAAGAGTAACAAAGCACTAGAATTATGGTCAATCATATTCTTTTCTCTGACACAATACCATGTGAAGCCATCAAAACTAATAAAGACTTTTACCAACGTTTTTTAAAGCAAGTGATCACGTGCTGCCACTTTTTATTAGCACACAAACTACAATTTGAATTCAAAAATCCCTGATTTTATCCCTCAATTAATTCATTAAACTGAATTATTATTATCCGCAATCTGTGATCCTGATTATTCGTAACTAAAATTAATTCCACATGGATCCGAAATTCAAAAAAAAAAGGCATCCGACATTTCGAACTAGTCTATTGGGCTTTATTTTATTAATTACTAAGCCCAGAACTTTCTGTGATAAAAGGGCCTAAACCAATTTTATTGCTAGTCTATTGGGCTTTATGATCCATTACGAATGGCCCAAAGGACTCCCAATTTATCAAAATCCGATAATTTAAATTAGTTTCAAATTCCCATTCACGAATTTTCTGTGATTTCTTCTTTTTCCTTCAGCAAAACTTCGTGCACAATAGACAGCCACTGAGCCACGGAGGCCTGAAAAAAATGCCGATGACGGTTGTCTCCGGTCGATTCTCACCGGCGCTACTACCGATTAGCTTATCAATTTCGCGGTTGCTTTCCGTCAATTACGCATGTCAAAGAGGCGTTGTTTTGTTTTCCAGATCAGTTCACGCCACTTCTGCTTCCGCCTCCGTCGAGACGAACTTGAGTGTACGCTTTTCATTCCTCTCTTCTTCCAACTCTCTATACGCGTTTGTAGGAATCGATTCGACTCGTGATGATTACAGGAAAACTCCAGACGGAATCAGAATTAGATTCTGATTAGTTTGAAATGCTTTTGGTTAACTTTGCTGTGAATTCTTTTCGAAGCAGCGTGAGTAGGATTTGTTTGATACTTTTTTAAACTTTCGCATTATGCGATTTGATTGGCTTGCAGGTGGATCCTGTTATCGAGAAGGAGAAGAACATTCTAGCTTGTCCCATCTGTTATAACTCTTTATCATGGATTAGTCAACCTAATGGATTACTGTGAGCCTCACTGTTCACTGATATTATTCGTTAATACAGAAATTAGGATTGAGAAAGTATGTGAATGCTCATTGTTCTTGAGAGTCAAACTAAATTTTTGGCTACAGAGAATCTACTGCATCTGGTACTCAATTACAATGCAATACCTGTAAAAAGAGTTACTTGGGTAATGAGACGCATCTTGATCTGGCTGTGGCTAGTGGAAGCAGGCAATACACTGAACCAATGCCACTTTCGACGGAGTTATTCAGGTGGATGATATGCTTTGATAATGGGTTACTATATCAATGTTAGGCTCTATCCATTCTTGTTCTAATTGAGTTTCTTTGGCGTTGTTGATATATAGGACTCCATTAGTCTCCTTCCTTTACGAGAGGGGTTGGCGTCAGAATTTCATATGGGGTGGTTTTCCAGGACCAGAGAAAGAGGTGAGATGAAAAAAAAACTCTCTTTTTCTTTAAAGGCTTCTCCTTTCGGTGCAATTACTTATGTTATATGTTTCTTCATCTAGCCATCTATGGCCAGAGCAAGTTGTAACACTGTTTGACATTGGGTTCTGCAGTTTGAAATGGCGAAAGACTACCTGAAGCCTGTTTTGGGAGGCAATATCATTGACGCCAGCTGCGGAAGTGGGATGTTCTCGAGATTATTCGCTAGAAGCGAGCTGTTTTCTCAGGTGATCGCTCTTGATTACTCGGAAAATATGCTGCGGCAGTGCTATGAGTTCTTAAATCAAGAAGAAAACTTCACTAACAAAGAGTTTGTACTCTCACACCCTTTTAAGATCGTGAGTAACCAGATGTGTTGTTTTTCACTCTGCTGTTGCTTTTTTTCCCCCAGGAAAGTTGTTCTGGTCCGAGCAGACATAGCTAGACTCCCTTTTCTTTCGGGTTCAGTTGATGCTGTTCATGCTGGTGCTGCTTTGCATTGCTGGCCTTCACCATCCTCAGCCGTAAAGCCTTTTTTCTTAATTCAGAATTTAGCAAAGAAAAGCCACATACAGTAGAATGTTTATGTTCCCTTTGCATCTTTTAGGTTGCTGAGATAAGCCGTGTTCTAAGACCTGGAGGAGTATTTGTTGCCACCACGTTCATCTATGATGGCCCTTTTAGTTTCATCCCGTTCTTGAAAAATATTCGCCAGGTTTGAAGCCTTAAAAACATTCAATTGCTGTCTTTTCACTTTCTTCTTGTTTGCTTCTTGGTGTGGTTTGTGGCTGATTATGCAATCCGATGTTGCAAATGGCAGGAAGTAATGAGATATTCAGGTGGTCACATCTTTTTGAGTGAACGTGAGCTTGAAGATCTCTGCAGAGCCTGTGGACTCGTTGGCTTCACTCGTGTTAGAAACGGACCATTTATAATGCTCTCGGCCACTAAACCCAGCAGATAAGCTCACCCTCTTATGAATAGCTTTAATTCTTGAAAATATATACACACAATTTTCCGTTGTTGAAAATTTGGTATAAAGTTATACACATCATAACAACTCGAAAGAGCATACATTTGTAACCTATCTTGTAAAGCTTTTTTTGCAAATGTTCTTATCTACTAGCTTTGTAAATTGGTTTTAACCTGGTTTACAAAAGGGTCTTCTTGTGAAAACTCAATATCTCTATCAGAACTTTCCGGAAGCAGTTCACGCATCTCGGAATCTATAAAAGCTTCCATCCGAGCACGATCTCTGTCTAGAGGATAGGTACGGTAGAGAAATGAATAGATGAAACAGCAAGCCGCCATTGGGATTCCAATGGATGTATAAAGAGCCTTCGCCAGCGACGCTGCGTTCTCTCTATCCGTGGCTATCTCCGCTGACCTTGATGATCCTTCAGGGACTGGCTTATACCCATAAACATGCTGCGCCAGGATTCCAACCATGGGAGGAGCAAACGATGACAAGATCGACTCAAACGATTTGTCCAGTGCGTAGACACTCGTTCGTGACTTCTCCGGAACAATCTCTGCAAAGATCGGGCTGCGTTTGTTTCACCAAGGTCAGTCAAAGAAACACAGTTAAGAAGCAAATAGGTGTAGTCAAGAAGAGAGACTTTACTTGTTGGTTGCAGGAGCATTCCAAGAAACAAACAGTCCCAGTAGAACTAAGATCAGGCCATGGATTGCAGCTGTAGAAGGGTCATCTGGTAAAACCAGCAAGAGTATTGCAGCGAGCGGGATCGCCGATGCTGAACTGATCTGCGCGAGAATAATTCTGCCGGAGTTAGGAAGACGAGTAGAGAGAAAATCTCCCATTTTGCCTCCGAACAAGCCTCCAAGAGAAGATGCAGCCACGAAAAGACCCATCAAGAATGCAGTTTTACCGTGTGAGAACCCGATGAGTTCCAACCACATGGGCGCAAAAGAAAGAGCAGACCAAGGAAACGACCCCGTCACTCCCTGAGCCACAATGATCTGAAAAGACCGAATCTTTACGACCGTATCAGCTTCCCGGACCAGATCCTTCACCTCCGAGCAAAAAGGTTTACTCGAACTTCGCTGGTTAGGAACATTGACACCATCCTTCACGAAATGTGGGTCATTGGCGAAAACTCGGACCAACACACCAACTATGACACTGATCACACCAACGATGTGGAAGGCAACTCTCCAACCAGGTACACCCATGAAGGTCAATGGAGCTATTAAAACAGAGCAAAGCCCACCTAAGATCGAACCGAGGTTTGCTGTTAGCTGCAGCCATCCAAAAGCACTGCCACGGTTAGCATCGTCCGTTGAGTCAGCAACAAGAGATTGAATTGCTGGAGCCACCAAGGCAAGGCCAATGCCATTCAGAGCTCTAGATACTGCCACCTGCTCGATCAAAGAGATAAATGTATCATCTCACTAAACACAAAACTGGGAAAACGAAAAAAGGTTAGGAAAAAGAAGAAAACCTGGAAGAAAGTGGAAGAGAAAGCGACAAGGAAAGTAGCGGCGGACCAAAGAAATGCACCGAGTGCAATAACGTGAGCTCGGTTATGTCGGATGGCCATGTAAGCAGCCAAGGGATAGCAGACGGCTTGAACCATGGATCGCAACAGTGTCAACGACCCGAGCCCGGTTGGATCCGTGTGGAGAGCCGCGCCGACCTCTTTGTATACACCTGGAAGCAGAGATTCGTCGGCTCTCTCCATTATTCCCGCTAGATTCACCAGAATCAGCGTCACCGTCTCTGCCTTCATCTTCCCTTATTTTCTCTGTTTCTTGAATCGGATTTTGGGTTTTTGAGTGAGTTTGATCAGGTTTTTTTTTCTCTCTCTCATTCGTAACCGAATAAAAAATTGGGATGTGAAACATCATCAATGTTAACGGTGGGAACTAGTATCAGCCAATGACGTTACGTGGTCGCTGACGGTGGCGCGTGAGAATGGTCAATGAATGTAATGAAATTTCCCGGTGATTCAGCTTATTTCCTAGATGGGTCCTACTGCTGACGTGTGCATAAACTCAATCGTTCTTTTTTTCTTTTCCCTTCTTTTTTCCAGGAGCTATACTGTATTTTCATAAGAAATACATGTAAAGTTGTAAACCAAGCATTTTATTGTTGTCCATATAAACCAAGTTAAAAAAAACAAAAGAAAGTTTAAATTCTATCAATACTTGATTTATCAAAAGGTTCCTTGACTTGTAACGTATACTACTAAATTTTTATTTTTTTAGCAAATAATAAAAATACTGAAGTAAAAGAATTCATATGTAAAGACTTATCTACGCACCTCAAAAGTCAAAATTGATAGTTTCTTAATTGTTTCACATATATCAGAGAGATATCTACTTTGGAAATTTGAAATGATAAAAAGGCCCTACACATAACATTCATGTTATTTCATCGTGTCCTTCGCTTGAGGGTTAATTCTCGGGCTTGTGTAGACCCTAAATTTATACTGTAATTATGTTCTCAAAAGGACCGAACATGGGCCTAAACTACCACTTGTTGGTGTTTGAACAAGTCTTATATTCCAAGTTCCAACGATTGAAATTCGTCAATAAGCAACGGCCCGTGTTTAGCATAGAATCGTTGGGATTGGAGCTAAAACCCCGAGTGAAGAAATATCCAAAAAGAGTAAGTCTTCTTCTTTTATTCTTTTTCCCTTCTAAGCCAAGCATATATTGTAGTCCCAATGTGCCTTTTCTCTTTCATATATATTTTTTCCCCTCTAAATCAATACTTTATTTTACTGTTATATTGTAGATATTCCAGGCCAAATATCAAATCAACTCTCAAGATATTCCAATCCAAACTATGGATTTTTACTCAATAAAAAGTAAATGGTACATCTTAGATGGTTCAGTAACGTAATTAAATCTTAAATGGTTTAAGCTACCATTTTAAAATGGATTGTATATAGACATTCACTTCGTTTCTAATTAGCTTCTCCAATGCATGTATGTATGAGTACGAAATAATATGCAATTCAAATATTTTTGATATTATAAGAAATGATCGCCGTTCCGCACTTTAAATCTTTAACCCAAAGCCAACTTCGTCATTTTATTATTTTTTCATATATTCCGCTTGCAAAGGTCCACACGCCATAGATCAAATCATATTGTTTGCCATCTTTAACATCATGTGCCTATGATTTTGTATTTTCGTGTACAAATCCATGCTACGAAGAAAAAAAATAATAACATATGCAATTGTTTAATTGATGAAATAAAATTAGTAGAATAACTACAGACAATTTTTAAGCATACTAATTTTTGTTTTACCTGAAATTAGTTTTGCCAGTCAAATGACTGATTGTTTCTATAAGTGCAAAACTTCAAAATAATGAAATCAAATGACTTGATATGCTTAAGTACAAGAACAATGCCTACATGCTTGCTTGCATATATATGAATTATACAAGTGATATTGATATTATTATCATACAAGCATGATGCCTTCAAGTATGTAATATATCTATACATTATATATATCACCGCAATCATTATATCACCTATTTTCTCTTTTCTTTAGTCATTTCTTAGAAACTATGATAATCAACCGAACTAAGAAATCGTAGATGTATTTCCTTATCAAATTTGTAATGATCATGGCGCTACATATATAATAATTCATGCACTTTGAGTACAGTAGAGGTTCATCGAACGACTTTTCTTATTAAATATTTTATTTTGGTTCAAGCAGTTTATTATATGTTTTCCTTTGGGTATATATTATATCCCTATTGTCTATTGATCTTCTTAGTTTAGTCTTTATGCTGCATAGTACAAAATATGACTCAATCGATGTTGGTATACTAGAATATAAAATCTATCACACACTTGAATACAACCAAAGGGCCATATATATTAATTTTTGCCATGCCTAACACAAACTGGTACTACATAGCTTGGGTCAATGAAACTTATTTAGAAATCATTCATTAATACATAGCGTTGGAAGAAATAAAATAATTTGTGTAACGGAATATCTAAATCAAAGTGTAGATTTATACAGCCACATACTGATGAATAGTATGTTTTTTCTTAGAGGACTGAAGTCTTGAAAAATAAAATGAATATATCGATTTATATAATCCTAAATCGTTGGTTTTTGACTACTTTTTTGGTATTTTTGTTAAAATATATTGAAAAGAGAGATTTAAGAGAATCTAGTTACGTGGCTTGTTTTGGGTTTATTATAACTTTGAACTAGCTTTCTCCTCATGTAGCACGAGTTTTCTAAGTTGTCGGCAGGCAAAAAAGCACATTCACTCCATGCATTTTTTTCAGAGAGAACAAGATGAGCATTTATTTATAAAAAAAAAAAAAACCAGACTATGCTTAACATGCTATTTTACTGATAAAGTGATAATATATATCATCTGAAACATCTATCAATGAATGATATAAAAATCCGATCTGATTAATCAGCATCGTATATACACGAAGCTTAAATTTTTGCTCTAGTTTCTCTTTTGTAATGAAATTTTAGTGAAATCTATTAAAAAAAACTTTAGAAGTATACGTGTTGGTGGGGGGGGAGGACAAAAATGAAGAAAAAGCAGTCAAAGCTAAATCAAACATACAACAAACAAAGAAAACCGCCGTATGAGACAGAAGGTCCTCGACAAAGCCGGCACCGACTCGCACGTACGCCGGATTACTTTCCTCTTCGCACATCGTGTAACAGGGAACAAAATAAATCTGTTAAAACTGTTACTTTTTTTTCTTTCTTTCTCAACTGAAACTGTATATCAAATCAAAATGAATATCACTCCTCCTAACTCATGCACGTACAAGTTGCACTTAAGAAAAAGAAGGTCCCGTTAATAATTTAACATTTTAAGCGGGATCTCAGCAGAATTTGTTCATCAATCACTTTAATTAGGTGAATTTGGTTGCTATTAAAACAAACAGACAAAATTGAAGTAAAATAATAATAATTAAAACAACCAAACAGTTTGTTGGTTGTTATCGATTTTTTTTATTGTAGATCGATACCACCCACTATGTTATTGAATGCTTTGGCGTTTAAAAGGATAAACTTAATTATTCCATTAATTACTTTTATAAAGCACTCTTAAGCATTGACCCTTTGGCTCTCAACTTTTTTCTTAGTGTAATACAGGTTAATCCCATTATCATAAGTTAGTAGAAAGTAACAAACCTTACTTCCGTCTAATATCATAATTTCACAATTATTACGTTTTTCTCTACTCAAAATTACATTTTAAACACTCACAAAGATCATTATCACTTATCACACTTCAAACATTTAAGTATTTTATCTAAATGTAACTAAATAGTATGACGTCAAAAATACTTTAATATATACTTTCATATTATTTTGCAGATATATCTGTTTTACAAATCGTTGTGCGGTACTTAATTAGCATCATTAATCGAAGTCACCAATTAAAAACTAAAACAATTTTGATATGCACCCAAATTTTTTGTAGATCTTAGTATATTAGTTGGAAAATTCGAGATAGATTAACTTAAAACAAAACAATCAGTCAATCACAGCACATATAATGTGAATTGTTGATCGACTTGAGTATAAATCACTTGTTATTGCACTTACCCATTTGTCCAACCAAAGGTTTTGAGTTTAATGCTCTATGGTAATCGTTTATGTTGGAAAGTACAGTTTTCCTTGTAGTAATCATTACCGTAAATATCGAGAAATAATGATAACAGAAACTATTTAAATCTTTCAGTAGGCTCCAAAGTATTTGAACAATCTATTGCAGTTTTCGTCTTTATCCATTAAGACAATAAACAATCAACAATGGGGTCAGCCCGATATAATATTCCTATCATTATTTCAATAACAAAGAATGTCTTAAAGAATCGACCCCATTAAATCAAATTAAAATCTAATTTTTTGGATTTTAGAAAACAAAAGCAAGATTTTTGTGTTGGAGCAAAAGGCAGACAAATAAAAAAGTTGGTTTCTTGTAAAGTACTCAACAGTAACTCTTTTGTTAGACTTATATAAATACATTAAAACAGCTTTCATCTTCAACTCAGAAAACTTCTTACTCCTCTCTGTTTCATCAGACTCTCTTCACAGTGCTTTATCTTCTTCAAAGATTTCCATTTTTCATTTTCTTTTTACAATGGCGAAATCTAAGAAAATCTCAACGGGTCAAAAACTGGGTTGTGAGAGTCTCCTTGGGTGCATTTTCCAGAGCTGGAGCCCTCGCCGCCGAAAGCCATCTTTACCGGAAAAAGATCACAAGGCAAAAGATTGCTTGACTCCCAAGTCAACCACCATTACAAACCCTAAAATCCTCCCGAGAAAATCAACCGACTCTTCTTCTCAGCCAAAGAAACCAGATCCGCAGAAACCCCAACAAAAGACGAAATCCGACGAAAGTAACCCAAGAAAGTCATCAGATTCCGCCAGAAAATCGAGTTCGTCGGCGTCATCCAGAGCAGAGAGCAAGAGGTTTTCAGTTAACGGCGTGATGGGAAACATCATCGTGAAACCACAGCCCGCCGTTAATGCCGCTGAGGCGGCACATACGAAAAGTCGGTGGGAGGGCAAGACGGTAAATTACAGACTCGGTCCTGAGGCTCTGAAGAAAATGGGAAACGAAGAGTATTGTCGTGGGAGGTTTGGAGAAGCCCTTGCGTTTTACGAGAGAGCTATTTCAGCTGACCCCAAAACGCCGACGTATTGGTCTAACAAATCCGCCGCCTTGATCAGTCTCGGTCGCCTTCTAGAAGCTTCCGACGCCTGCGA